GCCCAGGGCTGGGTGGAGATGGGCAAAGAAGGGCATCTATAATAGTGTCAACAATAAAAATAAAGTTAAATAAAAGAAAAAAATATTTAGGGATGGAGGCACTATATTATTGGCAAGAACATTTTATTAACATATTTTAAAAATATAAAAATCTGTTTAAATAGGTCATACTTTGATTGCTTTTTAGTTTTGTCAAAATCTAATCCTTTAATTTATATTCTAGAGGAAAACGATTTTAAGACTATTTCTTTTGCAGAGTGTGCTAGATTGGAAGAGAGAATTGCAATAGTAACATGGAAAACCTGTAAACTTATTTTACAATGTTATTTCTTTGGTCTTTATGACTTTATCCAAAGTTTCAACTATTGAGGAACTCTCGTATCCCTACTGTCATAAAGCAATTTTATGGGACCATAGAAATTGATTCTTAAAGTTTTAGAGCTAAAAAAAAATATGGCCATCTGTCCAGGTCTTGGTAAAGGGCTTACTTTATTTAAAATTAACCATAGCCCTGGCCAGTGTGACTCAGTTGGCTGGGTGTAGTCCCATGCACCAAAAGGTTGCTGGTTCGATTCCCTGTCAGGGCACATGCCTGGGTTGTAGGCTTGATCCCTGGTAGGGGGTGTGCAGGAGGCAGCCAATCGATGTTTATTTCTCTCCCTCCCTTCCTTTCTCTTTAAAAATCAATAAAAAAAAATCTTTAAAAATAAAATTAACCATAAATTATTTACTCTATGAGGACATTATTATAAGTACTTTTTTGACAAGTCCGATGCCTTAGATGAAGGAAATTTTTCTTCAAACATAGTTTGATTGAGTGAAGTAATAACCTTCTACATTATGGGGATTTTGCAGTGACATCACTTAAACATCTCATTATCCATGTCTTGCATCCTAACTGGGGTATCTCAGCTCACATGGATAGATATTATCCTGAGGATAAGCAAGTACTCAGGGTCATTCTTTAATGAATTCATCCAACACTCAGGAACTGTGTTAGGTAATGGGGACAAAGAGAAAGAGATCTCTTTCCTTGAAGAGTCATAGTCTGGTGGAAAGACAGATATTAAACAAATTCAGGAAGGCTTCCTGGGCCCAGGTAACTTTAACATCGAATTAACATAGAGGAAAATTGTGGTTCTATGAACGAAAGTGAAAAAGTATTCCATGTTTTTAGAACTCTACTGTGTAGAGTTCAGTAAGCCAAGTCCAGTGACTGGGAACTGCTGAACAGAGTCGTGGGCTGTTTCAGAGTCTGGGGTCACTGAGGAAATAACTGAAGGGCAGAGAACTGGACGCTGGGTATGAGAATGCTGCATCTGGGGTGAACATGCAGCACCTTAGAGCCATCCTGACCAGAAGGGAGCACACGGAGCTGGTGTAGCCCTCCACCCTCTGCGTGAAATGAAGACATGGATTCATGGCCATGTCAGCGGCTCTTCCAGTTACCCGAGTAGTCCTGTAAATGCCACCTGTGGATTCATGCCTCTTTTCGACTGCAGAGTCCTGGGTCATCTCAGTGTTAGGATCCTAATTCAGTCATAATCTCTCTGTTTTACCTGAGTAGGCTGGAATAGGACGATGGGAAAGTCAAGGGACTTATGAGACTATTTTCCCTATGAGAAAAGGAAAAATTTTAAAGATATTTGCTAAATGCCTGTGACATTGTACAAAGTATTTGGATTAAAAGTAAATTACATTTAGCTCTAGCCAGTCTGGCTCAGTGGATAGAGCATCGGCCTGTGGACTGAAGGGTCCTGGGTTCTATTCTAGTCAAGGGCACATGCCCTGGTTGCGGGCCCGATCCTCAGTGGGCGGTGTGCAGGAAGCAGCCAATCAATGATTCTCTCTTATCATTGATGTTTCTATCTCTCTCCCTCTCTCTTCCTCTCTGAAATCAATAAAAATGTATTTTTTTTTAAAGTAAATTACATGTAATGGGCCCTTAGTAACTTCCAGACACTATTCAGACCTCTTTAAATACATTGTCTCATTTCACCCTTTCAATAACCCCGTGAGTTAAATACTTTGTCATTCCTACTTTACAGATGAAGAACCTGGAACACAGACACCTTAACTTGATAAGGGCCTCACCAGTAATAAATGGTGACACCAGGGTTCAAGTGCAGGCAACCTGAGTTCTTGGAGCCCATGGAGCTTTGTGAACTGGGGTAAATTACTCAGTCTCTTGAATCTTCATCTGTAAAATGGGAATGGTCATAATAAGGATAGTGCCAGCTCCTAGGGTTGTCATGCAGGTAAGTGCTTTGCACAGGTAGCATCCATGTGCACTTCGGTCCATCTCTGCTGGGCCCAGCCCTCTGGCATGAGGGCAGAGGCTGGGAAGGCACACCAGGCCCCCTCCTCCAGGACCACAAGTGCCTCCTTCCATCAGTGTTTCCTGCTCCAAGAGTCAGGCCTTAGTCAGTGTAAGGTAATGACCAATAAATGGTAGTGGCTGCCTTTGTGAAGTTGTCATTTTTATTTAATCTGTATCCTCAAACTAATATTGTTTTCTTGAAATCAGCAGGAAAGATATATTACATTGTGCTTGGGGATGGAATTTGTTTTTCCTCACCCACTTGTCATTGCTCTTTGGGTGAAGAGTCAATATAGTTGGCACACTATTGCCAATTTCAGAGGAATGAGCTATAACAATAAAGAGAAAGAGATTCAGAGGTTTTGCAAGTCAGGTTCTAGTGCTCATTTGCTTCGATTCTGATTTTTTGTGAATTGGCTACTGGGAATGTAATCTCACTTCAGATGCACTTTATATTTCTTAAATGACTTTGTTTCTGAAGCACATTCCCTGAGAGGTGATGTATGCATTTAACATTTCTCAGCCTAAAAGGATGACTTCATTTTGCGTGGGAATGTTGTGCACATCCATGTAAATCAGTACATTGTTGATATGTCTGATACGGTCCTGCGGAGAAACAGAACCAAGAAAAGACGTATGTATCTTGGCTTGTGCAAAAATTGTGGGGACTGGCAAGTTCCAAGCCTATAGACTGGCCAGTTGGAAATTCAGGCAAGCGTTGAAGTTACAGTCTTGAGTCTGAAATTTTGAAATCTGTAGGGCAGGCTGGTAGTATGGAAATTCCAGCAGAATTCCTGTGTTACAGTTTTGAGACCAAATTCCTTCCTCTCCAGGAAACTTCTGGTTTTGTTCTGTAAGCCTTCAACTGATTGGATGAGGCCCACCCAGGTTATCAAGGGTAACCTCCTTTACTTAATCAACTGATTGTAAGTTAACGACATCTACAAAACATCTTCACAGCAACATCTAGGTTGGTGTTTGACCAAACAATAGAACACCATATCCTAGCCAAGTTGACACATAACATTAACCATTGCATGTGTGTTCAGCCTAGCGGTGTGAAAGTGTCTGTTGCTAGCATCTGCAGGCTTCCCAGCTCATCCAGTTCAAGTCGAATGCTAGTGTTCTGAGGACTTGTCAGGAGCTTGGACACTGCTCTGACTCTGCGCCAAAGAATTCTAATAACACTTCATTTGCTTGACTGAGGAAAAAAGGATGAGAATCTTTAGAAAAGAAGGAAAGTGTCTTTACTAAGCAACTTAATGAACTGTGCACCTTGGCTTATAAAGAACCTACAGAGGCCAGCCAAGGACTGTGCCTGCTTTGAGGGCTTACATTCTGGTCTAGCAAGCTAACAGGAAAGTAGATGAATGCAGGAAACAGTGAGGTCACAGAGAATCACTGAAGAGCCATACCTGAGTGTGTGTGTGTGTGTGTGTGTGTGTGTATGTGATGTGCAGGGTTAAGGGATAGGAAATATTAATCCTTGAGGTTGAGGCTTAAAAGAAGCATGCTGGTTTGCAGACTGTCTCTGGGGAAGTGAAGGAGGAGTGGGGACAGATAAGGGAGGCTGGGGCTGTCCAATGGCTTGGCCAACTTAAGCGAAGGATATAAATCTCAGGACTGTGAGACTGGCCGAGGCCCGGGAGAGAGGCGAGTGCCTGATCATGGCGTCTGTGCTTTATCCCACCAGAGGTAAAGGTGAAAGACATCGTAGTTTTAAATCAGAGAATAACACAGACAGCCCTCTTAAAAGAGGCTGAGTGTTTAAAACTCAGCCAACAGTATGGCTGTTTTCAACCCATACAAAATAGGAAATTAGGTTAGGAAATCTCTGAGAAAATATATTTCAGTAGGGTCAATTTGAAGCCAACTGAGCAGCCTTGCAAAGGACAGAGACTGGTCTCTGGGGTTCTGTGCTATAGTTGGGCTCAAAGGTGCTTCAGATGGACACATTGAAATACGGGTTCAGCATGATGGAAGGTGGGAAATAGGAAGGACATTTCTAAGTCCTTTTTGTACTGAGCCCAGTTTTACTTTTCTGTTATGATGCTTACTTTGCTTTTCAATTTGATGAGAACTAACATAGTGTCATCTATTTTTGTTTATTTAATATCCCCATGTGCATAATCCAAAATAATTTGTGAGGTCCTATGGATGGTGCTTTATTTATACCCCCTTATGCCTGGCATACAGCTGGACACATAATAGGCACTCAGTGTGTTGGTTGATCTGCCTGAAAGACATTGAACTACTTACTCAGGTCCTTCTTGATTCCGATGAGCATTCAAGTGTGTAGTAGCAAAGAGCTGGAAAATGCTGGCTAGTGCTTGTCCAAGTGTCGTTTTCCTTTAAACAGGCTCTGAAGGTTTCTGCTGCTTAATAGCAAAGAGAAACTTCAAGTCAGGGAGCAGCTTGTCCCCCTGACGTTTCAGGTCAATCGATGGTTTTTACTCTGGGTATCGACAGCTCTCTGCTGCATGCCCTTGTCGTGGGCTACGTGGGTTGACTGTGGTGAAATGGATTATACTGCTTTTAATCAGTACCCAGTAAGCATGATGCGTGCCTGTGACTTTTCCTTTGCCTTTTAATTGTTCCGGCTGTAGGGCCGTTGAAGGTGCTGTTGTGTGTTCATACTTGACTGATCAGTTTTTAACTCAGAGCTTATGCTTCTTTGCAGGATGCCACAATTTGGAAGCCCGATTCGTGCCAGAATTGCCGTTGCCATGGTGATATTGTTATCTGCAAACCTGCTGTTTGCAGAAACCCTCAGTGTGCCTTCGAGAAGGTATGATGTGCTAAATGTGTACTAAATGTATTGGTAAAGTCAGTGAAAGGGTAGGGTTTTGGCATTTTTTTCAGCCACCTAGTTTTTTATTCCAAACTAACTGGAAACTTTATCAAACATGGGAGATAATTTTTGCATATCATATTTAAGAATCTCTTAATTTCTGTTTATTGGGCATTCAGTACTCTGGACCAGGCACTCTTTTAAAGGTTTGACAAATACTCTTCCATTTACTGTTATGTGGGGTAGATGTCTTTATCCCCACTTTACAGACAGGGAGGTGAAGCCTAGGGATTGAAGCAGCTTAACCATGGTTATGCAGTTAATAAACCAACTGCCACCCAGAGACTTTCCTGGGTTCGACAGTTGCCAAGGCTACTTGATACTAACCACAGCATTTATCAGCCACTGAATGGATTGAAAGTCAGGGTCAACTTCTTAAAGATGGTTTTCTAAAAACATTATTTGTTCTGATTGTATAATTGTGCTGCCTTTGGGCTCCCTAGAATATGAGAGGCTCTGACTCAGAAGTTTCTGTTATTTGACTAAGTGTCTGAGGAATGTTTCATCTTGTCCCTCTGTTAAATTTTTTCAGTTTTTTTTTCTAACTACACATCTATGCTGTTAGAATATTTTTTTAGGTGCCGACTCTTTTGTTTTTAAAGTGAGTCTATTAAAATAAAAAGAGCTTAAGTTTCAAATTTGAACATTTGAAACTCCCTGGAGAAGACCAATTATTTGTTCTGAAAAAGCATTCTGTCAGTTTCACAGTTTATTTTTTCTAGTTTTCTTGCTCCCCCCACAATAATTAATCTTGAGCTTTCATACCCTCTACTGCTAATACATTTCTGTTTCTAACTTTGGAGTGAAGGTTCTATATACCTTTAAGGTATTACTCAATTTCTGTGTGTATATTCCTGAGAAGTTGGTTATACATCAAGCGCTGGTAAATTTGATAATATTTTGTTGTATATTATAGAGCTTTCTATTTTATGGAGTAAACACTCTTAAAAGATCACTGTTTAGCTTGCTGAGTAATTCATGTCAAAATCTGAGCTGATTGTGTAATGGTAATGAAAACATGCCCTTTTCCATGTCACATGAATAATTGTGGTATCACAGCAGAAGCCTTGAACTCACTGTTATAAGATACAGACTGTATCACTGAAAACTAAATGTGTTCTATACCAGGGGGCCACCAACAGAATCTAGCCTCTATGACTGCAAACAAACAATAATTTTTGCATTTTGAAATGATTGGAAAAGATCAACAGAGAGCAATATTTCACGATGTGAAAATTATATGAAATCAAGTTTTAGCGTCCATGAATAAAGTTTTATTGAAACACAGACAGACTCATCTATTTACATATTGCCATGACTGCATTATAGTGATGAATTGTGTAGTTATGACGTAGATCAAAGGCAAAAATATTTTGCAGACAAAAGTTCTGACCCTTGTTCTATACCAAATGTGATTTTATGCCTTCCTCATTTGTTCCTCTCCTGTTTTTTCCCATTTCAGTAAAGGGCAGCTCCCTTCGTCCACTTCCTCAGGCCAGCAAACAGCATCATCCTGAGCTCCCTACTTCCTCCCACATCCCACATCATTAGCAAACCTGCCAGCTCTTCATGAAACAGTACATTCCACATGGCTTCTCTGCTCTTTCTTGGCTCTTACTGTTACCGTCGTTTGCTTCATTCTCACACTAACCTCTTAACTTGTTTCACTGTTTCTGTACTTGCCTATTTCACTGTAATCTTGATATAGTAGTCAGGATGATCCTACCAAAATTGAAGTCAGATCATGTTGCTTCTTTCCTTAAACCGCTCCAGTGGCTTCCAATGGCTTCTCTTCTCACAGTAACTCTTCACAGTGTCCTTTAAGGTGCTGTTGCACCCTATTAATTAACCAACTGTTCTCTCCCTTGCTCTCTCTGCTTTAGACATCATGCCTGCTTGCTGTTGAGTGGCTATGCCAGGCACACTTATGCCAAAGGGCCTTTGCTCTGTTGTTCCTACAGAGATTATATATATATATATATATATATATATATATATATATATATATATATATGCTTTGATCTTTTACTTCCTTTATGTTTTGCCTGAATATCTTTCTATTTAAAGTTGCAATCCTCCATCCCATATCACACCTTTCTTTTCCCTTTTCCATGCTTTAGTTTTCTTCTTGGCATGCACTACTCTCTGACATACTCTATATTTTACTTACCATTCTTGTTTACTGTCTCTTTTGTTCACATTATATCCTCAACACCTACAATAGCAACTGACACATGGTAGGCATCAGTAAATATTATTTCACTGACCATATGAACGAATTAGAGATGGGGCCAGAGAGTTGGTAAGTTAAAGTTATGGAGAGCCTTGTATGGTGTACTCTGAAGCTTAGAATTTTATTTTTCAGATAATTAAACACTAATGAAGGTTTCAGGCATATGGGTAAATAGCCAGCTTTTCTTTCAGAAATCTCTCTCTGGTTTTTAGAAAATAATACATAATGTTAGATATGAGGAGATGAGTTCAGAGGCTGTGAGATTAATCCAGGTGAGAGGGAGAGTACTTAAATCGGGAACAGTGGTAGTGTCGGGAGCAAGAGGAAAGGGCAGGCTCAAGAAATATTTAGGTGATAAATCAGCAGGACTGGGTGAAAGGAGGAGGGCGAGGGAAAGGAAACAGAGAGATGACTCCCATATTTATGACTTGATGACTAGTTGGTTAGCTGAGCCATCAACTGATATTGAGAATACAGGAGAGTGAAGGAAAGCATCCCATCTGGGAGGGAAATGATGATTTCAGTTTGGGGCGCATTGAGCTTGAAGTGTCCATGGAAACCCCAAGTGGATATTTCATAAAGACAGCTGGGTGTGAGTCTAAATCTCAGAGAAGATAGGGTTGGAGGCAGTATGTGGATATGATTAGTATATAGATAGTAGTGCAAACTTTTAGAATTAATGAGATCATCCAAAGAGATTGTGTGGGGGGAAAAAGTACAAGGCCAAGGATGGAATTTGGGGAACACAAAAATTTAAGGGGAGGTGAACCTAGGAAGATTAGAAAGACACGATCAGCAGGTAAAAGGTAACCCTGGCCAGGTGGCTCAGTTTATTGTAGTGTTGTCCCGTACACCAAAAGGTTGTGGGTTCTATTCCTGGTCAGGGCACATATCTAGGTTGTGGGTTCTATCCCCAGTCAAGGCGCTTATGGGAGGCAACATCTCTCACATTCATATTTCTCTCTCCCTCTCTCCCTCTCTCTTTCCCTCTCCCCCCCCCCTCAAATTAATAAAAACAGAGGCAGTTAGAAACCAGTCCTGTCAGAACAAATCCTCTTAAGGATTTCTGGAGACTATCTACGTACAGAGGACAATGCCATGAAAAGGAACAACTGTATTAGTACATGGAATGGGGTTTCAGCTGCAAGCTTCAATGCAGATAATAGTATTTACCTAATCAAGTTGTTGTGAGAATTAAAAAAAAATATATATATATATATATATATGTACACATATACATACACTATGTATATATATATACATATACATATATATATATACACATACACACATATATGTGTACATGTATGGTGGGCAATAGTAGGTTTACAGTTGTGAGTGCATGAAACACAGAGTTTATCTTCTATCATTATTTACTAGAGGCCCAGTGCACAAAATCTGTGCATGGGTAGGGTCCCTAGGCCTGGCTGGCAATCAGGGCCAATCTGTGGGGTGACCAGTAGGGTGATGGGTGGGCCCCTGCTGGCACCTGCCTTGGCCGGCCTGGTGCTGCCCACTCACCGGTCCCACCCCCTGCTGCTGCCGGTCGCCTCTCTCTGGGAGGCAAATGGCAGGGTGATCGGGGGCCCCCGCTGGCACCCACATTGGCTGGCCTGGGGCCTGTGGGCTGGGGGAAGCTCCTGCGTTGAGCGTGTGCCCCCTGGTGGTCATTGCATGTCATAGTGACCAGTCATTCAGCCAGTCGTTCCACCATTTAGTTGATTTGCACATTAGGCTTTTACTATCTAGGATTCTTGTATTATATATTTTTCTGTATGAACAACTGTAAACCTCCTTTTGCATACCTGGCTATTTTAAGTACTCAATAAGTGTTAGCTATAATTATCAAATTACCATCATAATTATTGTTAATTGGTTCTTCTAGATCCTACACAGGTAATCTTGCCCAGCTCCCCTAGAGATCTTCATTGATGTCTTGCCCACGTGGCCACTTCCCAGTGCTCCGCAGTGCAAAGCCTGGAGGGCAGTAGGCTTATGTGTTCCATGTAGCCCACAGCTCACACAGCTGTGCAAGGTTTCACAGTGAGGTAGCAAGAACTCCCTGTCTCTCCTCTAAGCACCCACATGCAAATTATTTTGCTCTTCCATTAGCTCCAAATCATCTTTCATGTTCAACCAGAAGTTCAATAGATAGACTCAAGATGGAAACCCCTCATTGCCACTCATAAATAAGGGATTGTATATTTATGAAATGAGGTTTGAGGGCCATATCTGAAAATTAGTTTTTATGAAAAACAAAGAAAACTAACATCGGGGCATATAATATCCCTTGAAATCTCCCATTCTACCTGCTTGTTCCCCTTGCTCTCTGTTTCCATATTAGAATATAAACAGTTGGTTTATCTCATTTTCTATTTATATGAAATTCTTAGTGCAAATTAGGCTAATGTAGTTTCCACATTTGACTATCTTAGTGGGAATTATACAAGTGTGGTTTCTCTTGGGGTTCAGAGGACACTTCTCTGGAAAGTCATTAACATTGCATAGTATGTAGAATTTTATAAAATCCCATATCTTATGTTTATCCTTTATCAAGCAAGTAGGAAGAATTTGGTGATTACTGTTACTGGTGTATTTATCTGCTTTATGGATTGATAATCGTAGTCCCATTGCTCACCCACTCTTGTGAATGTAGTTATATAAAATTACAATTTTCTTGTATGCTCAATTTTTTAAATAGAAGCAGCCCAAAATAACAAGGAAACATGAACACACACACACACACACACACACACACACACACACACACATTTTTTTTTTCCCATTCCAGCAGCTGAATTCTTTGTAGACTTTTATTCTGTGAACAGTTATGATTTCTTGGCTGATGTAGGATCTCCTAACATTTTTGGCTGAAATCACTCATTGCCTGTTCTGCCACATCTCAAGATTGAGGAAACGCTAGGATATATGCAGTGGAGGAACAAGACAAAGCAGAGGATTGAACAGGAGACTCACTGGCCACAAAGACAAACATCAGCTCTTTGCACCATAGTTTTAATAACTTAGATAAATGGATTACTCACAGCGGCAAATGGATGGTTAGTTAATGTGACAACTTCCCAATAACTCCTGGGGTGTCTCCTGGTAGCACATTCTCTTGATAGTATCGCATCTTGTTAGGAAACACAATTGCCATTATGGAAGTCTTGAAAAGCAATGTAGGTCTTTCCTGGAGCCCATGAATTCTGCCAGCTCACCACAGTACACATGATACCCCAACAATGCTGTTTCCTCTCCCAGCTTTGTCCTTCAGTATTGCCTTGCTCTCCGAGTCCCTGGTAAAAGTGAACCTCAGAATCTCAGCCGCGCCCCCTCCCCTCATAGAGGCTGACTGCATCTGACCTCTCTAGGAGATCTGGAAGACCTGGGGCCACCAGCTCTGTGGCCACCCCTCACCCCTACCCAGGTCAAGATACAGTTCTTCTCTCACCCTCTCTGCTTTTCTTATGTGACACTCAGATGAAGCATTTCTAGTGAACAAAATTCTTCACTTCGTTAGATGTGAAAAGACGTAGACAATTTCCAATGAAATTTCTTCCACAAGGGGGTTCATTTTATCTTTGATGAAGCTCGTCTTGACAGAGAGAATCCCTTTTGTTTGTTTATTTGGTTTATCCTGTCTATTATTGTCACCTGTGGAAACATATGAGATTCAGTGCATCCGAGATGGCTAAAGTGCAAAGAACCATTATGAGTGCTGCCGCTATTTAACACTGAGCTGTTTTTAAATGCACAGGGAGAAGGGCTTCAAATAGCCGCCAACCAGTGCTGCCCCGAGTGTGTGTCCACGACTCGTGGGTCTTGCCATCACGAAGAGAAAATCTATGCGGTAAGTGTTTTCTGACCCAGGGGTGATTCTCTGTCTGTAGATCATTGACAAGGGGAGACTGAATGCTAACCTTGTGTTGTCAAGAGAGGTGTTTTTTCCCTTTGTCTGGGCTCTGGAGGACCGGAAGCTCATTTGACTTTCCACAGGCATTTGGGTTTCTTGAATAAGATTAAAACTGCCCTATTTATTCCTTAGACCCTATGTAAATATGCATAGATTGAATTTGTGTCTGTGTAAAGGGTTGCCTGAGAATGTTGATGTTGAAGAAGTTGTGATGCTAAATATTAAAAGTGCCAACTCGGTTTTATATACCACATACCATTTTTTTCATTTGAGTGGTGAGTAGAGCAGATATTATTATTCCAGTGTTAAAGATGAAACACTTGAATTGCAAAGAGCTTAAGTACTTGCCCAATGTGGTATTGCAAATAGTGGGATAACCTGACCTAGAACCCTGGTCTTCTTTCCCTTAGGGGAGAGTTTCTAAACCTGAGGACTATTGACATTTTAAGCTTTGTTGTGGGGGCTGTCCTATGCATGTAAGAAATTTAGCAGCATCCCTGGCCTCTACACACTAGATGCTAGCAGTACCCCCGCCCCCAGTCTAATGACCAGAAATGTCTGCATGCATGGCCAAATTTCCCCAAAGGGGCAAAATGCTCAGCTACCCCCGTTTAGAATCACAGTACTAGAAATTGGTCCTAAAATTCCTTTATTACACTTTCTCATTTCAGATCATTTGGGATTAATTTTGAGCTACTAAATGCTGATTTAGAAGTACCATTGCCAGGTTTATAATAGAAATTATGAAAATGGAATGGTTACAGTTAGTTCATCTTTACTCATAACTAAATGTTACCCGGAGGCAGCAGGTGAAGTTGAATGTGATGGAAAGAAGCTCTTTGCTTTAATCCTCATCTTCCACCTGATACAAAACTTTCTCCAAGTTAGTGCCTCTACCCATTCAGGAGAGAGCAGAGGTTAACAGGATTTGATAATATCCACTCTCGGCTGCTATTCAGTGTGCGGACCTAAAACTCGGCAAGGACAATGCCCTGTCCCCGTGGGACGGGATCATCTCACCTGAGCCACTGTCTCTGCCTTACCTGAGGAAGCCGCTCTTTCACTTCTGCACAATGGGCTGCTGGAAGGCAGCCAGGCAGGATCTATGTCGGGAATGTCTTCATAGCACGTATCCTCTGTGCTGCTCGATTCAGTCTGTGTTATGTTGGGTGATGTAAGGTTTGCCCTCCACGGAAGAGGATCCATGTGAAACGGAAGGCGTTGCAGGACAGACCGGTGATGGAAATAATGCCTTTTCATAACGATTGTATTAGGTGGGTGGTTCAAGGTCAAAAACACCAAGCTAAGTCATTCAAGGGAAGGAGCGCATAGGGTCAAAATAAGATCAGGAACTGGGGAACATTAGACGTCTCAAATAAGAGCTGGTACCAGGGACATGGGAAAACAGAGTTCGTTAACTCTGCATGGACCACTATACTGACACTTAACATTTTGCTCTCATGTTACGTTTGTGCACATGTGCAGGCTTCCTATCTTGATGTAAGAGGCCTGAGAACACTGACATTTTCTATATCTTTAGAGTGATCTTCCTTGCATCCCACCTAACCTGGCGCTTAGCACTGAACTTTTCCCAGAGTAGCTGCTCAATAAACATTGATGCCTGGAGGACTCAGACAATGGGTACATCTCTTTCAGCTCATCCATGTACTTGTCCCAGGGCATATTGGTCGTTGGACCGCAGACCTGCTGATAGGTTAGTTGGAGATCCGCTTGGCCTACTTTTTCTGGGAGAGTTCAGAAAGTCTTCCTTCTGCCCGCCTCCCTCGTGGTTTACCCCTTCCACTATAACACATCACGTGGAAAGCTCTAAACTGGGTCAGAACATATCCACATGCCCTTTTCCATATGCAACTTTCAAAATACACTCCCTCAGAAAATGCTATAATGATATTTCTGGTACGGATGTAACTGAGAAAAGGGCTGTATTTAAGGAACTGTAGTTTAAGGGGGAAAAAATCTCTACTTCTTCAAATAGAGATGGAAGAATGATTTATTTTCAAGTCAAGACAGAGTCTCCTAACTTTAGTCTTAATAAAGTTAAAATGCTCATGTTTCTAGTCTTCCTGTTCTTCCTTCCTCTCTTTCTTTCTTCACTTCCTCTAGATTGTTGCCACATCCTTCTTAATAGTGTTTATCTTCTTGAGTGGGTTAAATGCTTTGCTGGGTTTGCTGTGAGTCTCACCTTATCACGTGCATCACAGGTGATTTTCCCCCCTGAATCTTGGAGCCTTTCCCCCTCACTCCTCACCCCCCACCCCCGTGCCCCATCCCCTATCTCCCACCTCCCACCCCATTCAGCTTGTTGGTAAGCAGTTTCCAGAGCACTTTCCTCTCTAGCCTCTGGCTTGCATCCCATGGGGCAGGCTATGGAGACTCACTCCCAGGAGCTATAAAATAGCCTGGTGTTTTAGGAACTTAGGAACTGTGATCTGCGGTAAAAGCTTTCCCCTAAGAGAGATTTAGAAGAAGCTTTAGGATAGAGTGTGGCAGGAGGGGAACCAGTGGAAATGTCTCCAGAGAACAGGGTTGAAAGGAAGGAAAGTCAGGGGTGGTAGAGCTCAGGGCAGCAAGAGGCCCTGCTCTGAGTGAGCAACCTCGCCTCCCGCTAGAGAACCTCCTTTGCCTGCAGGGCAGCAGCATCTTATACAACTGGCATTCTAGCAAGTCCAGACAAGTCCCAACATTTTCCCTGGAGGGAGGAAAACACTTGAGCCTTTTGGCTGACTGCAGGTGATTTGACAGTTTTACGTGGGCTTATTACCGCCAGCATTTGGGGGACTGTTTCATCCATGACCTCCCCAAAGCTATCCCTTCAAATTAGCATTTGGATCTCTGCCCAGCCTTGCCAACCAGACAGGGAGACAAGCCTGAAATATGTTTTCCTAAAGAGTGCTGGAATGCTTTCCCCCTGTTCTTTTCCCCACAAATTAGCTTGTGAAAGAGAGGGGAAAGGACCATTAATCCCCTTTGTTCTCCTCTGCACTAATTTATACCAGCACCAGATAATATCATGTCAGAGAAAAATAATGCTTGAAGATACACTAAAAAAAGGAAGTGGCAGGTGGTAACGCCCTGGTGCCCACATAGGACTGAATAGAGGAGTGCGGCGGGAGAGGTTTGTTCACGTTGCCTGCTCTGAGGCTAAAAGGAGAACTAATTTATGTGTGAGGGGGAAGAAATGAGTATTGAATTCTGCAGCCTTGTTCTTCTCAACCTAGAGGATGTAATTATAATATGCACTGAACATTGCCAGATATTTAGTATTCTACCTCTATTGCTTCATAACGGGAACAAATTATATGAAGAAAAATTATTTTGTTGCTCCGACAGTAAGTGAGGCAAATACTTTATGACCTTATCTTTCCTTTGGAATTATATCAACAGCCGAGCTGACTTGTTGGTTGGCTGTGCATAAGAATATATTTAAGCCCTGGCGATTTGCGCAGTGGTTAGAGCATCAGCCTGTGGACCAAAGGGTTGCGGGTTTGATTCCCCGGTCAAGGGCACGTAACTTGGTTGCAGGTTCCCCAGCTCCAGTAGGGGCCCTTGAGGGAGGCAACCAATTAATGTGTCTCTCTCATGTCCATGTTTCTCGCTGCACCTCCCATCCCCCCCACTCCCTTCAACTGTCTTGAAATCAATGGAAAAAATATCCTCAGGTGAGGATTTACAAAAGAATATATTTAAGATGTCTGCAGAATGCTTTTCTCCCATTGTCAAAAACTCATGTTTTCTAAAAGTATCCATGAGGTTAAGATGGCACAGATAAACCCGGGTCTTTTGGGTGGGTGGCATTGGAGAGCTGTTACTCCTTGATTTTACAAAGCTCTCTTTGCTGCTGCAGGTGCCCATAAAATAAATAAGGCTTTTGTAAATAGGTATTAGAGCACTGAAATTATATCTATGTGTCTATAGTACCTATCTATCATCTATCTATTTATCTATCTATCTATCTATCTATCTATCTATCTATCTATCTATCTATCTATCATCTATCTATCCATCCATCTTTCTATCTATTAGCACGTGATGAACCCCTTGATCCCTAATTTCCCTTCGGTGAGAGAGGTCCACTGCCTTAGGGACAGGAGTAGGCGATGAAAAGGAGGGGACTTCTGTGACTTGACCCTGAGTGAGAGATGGGAGTAATCCCTTTACTCTGTGCACTTTGGATCACCCTCTGGCGCTTATTCTGTGGCTTTCACACGGTTTTCCTGCTGAATATTCCATGTTATTCCCATAGTTCTCCAGCTTGTTGTGAAGAGGGAATCCCCTGCTTAGTTTTATGTCTCTTGAGTTAGATAATAGATTTACATCATTAGAGAGTTTAAAAGTGCTGGAGAGATTAGCGAACACAGCCCTCTCATTTTACAGAGGAAACTCTTCTGGTGATTGACAGATTGTTGTTATAATTAATTTTTGTGGTCTCTGTCTGAAAGGTGGTGTGATTGCAAATGTTTCAGAAATGACAGTGTTTCTGAGTAGTAAAGAAATCATGCTCTTGTTTTAATGAAGTGAAATGACTAGATGTTTAGAAGCAATCTCCTAATTTGTAATAAAGAAGTACATTTTAAGTTGTTTTATATGCAGCCTTCAAATTTTACTTTACTTAAGATATATAAATGATTCATTATATATTTTAAACAGTAATTTGCTCTCTGATGACAAAAGTAAAAATGTTTATTGATGAAAATTTAGAAAATAGAAAAGCATACAAAAGCAGAGGAAAAAAACCACTAGTAATCCCCAAACTCTAAAAACCACCGTTACTGTTCTTTCAGTTTTTTGGAGAGGGGGTGGCAGTGTCGATGGGTAGATACTGAGATAGATAGATGGATAGATAGAGACATAGGGCTTACATAGTTGTAATTATACTGTGTACACAGTTTATATCTTGCATTTTAAATATAATATTATGTTTAAATAGTTACCTAGCATATTCTTGGAGAACATGATTTCCTATTATTAGGCATTTGGGTAGCTTCCAGTTTTCACTAAAATATTTCTAATTTTACTATAAAGAACAGTGAAATGGAATTTTTTGTATTTAAACTTTTATGTGCTTCATTGATCATTTTTTTTTTCATGTAACTTCTTAAAAGTGAAATTAGTAGGTCAAAGCATCTAAAGGTTTTGAGTATTGAGGCTGTAACATCTATGGTCATTATTAAATGCATTTTCAATCATCTGTGTCTAATGATAAACCCAGTGGGGGATATCACAGAGAGCACAGGCCCCACCTGGCTGAGTTATTCCCATGCTACAGTGAGGAAGGCTGTGGGTGGGAGAAACACCCTCCACTGCAGCTTCCAGGACTAACTACTGTGAATTTTAACTCTTCCCTTACCTGATTTTAAATAATATCCAATGTTATTTTCATTATTATTTCTTTGCAATTAAGAAAGTTGAATCTTCTATAAGCTTATTGCCATTTTTTTTTCCATTGAGATTTTTCCTATTGTTTGTCAGTACTTTTAGATATCAGTTTTGTTTTAATTAATTTAATTTTCAGTCTTTAAATCAGTTTGTCATTGCCTTTTAAATTTGTTTAGAATGTATTTTTGACAGACTTTTAAAATTTTATCTCACCAGACCTGTCATTTTTTCTCTTGAAATGTCGTGCTTAGCTTTTATGCTTAGGCCTATCAGCAAGTTGTGGGCTTGCCCATCTGTATGCTGTACTACATTTGAAATTTTGTGTTTAATTATAGCAGAAGTGAAAATTGATGGGAGAGGACTTGGTCTTGGCATGCATGTCCATTCCCACCACCACAGCTGGCACTGTCGGTGTGAACATGGGGAGGAAGGCCAGGGACTCATGCTGGGGAAATCGGGGAGAGAATTGAGCATCTTCTACCTGCCACCCCCTCTTGTTGGCTCTTTAATCAGCTACCTGGAAACTGAAATTTAGGAAGATTAAGTCACTGACCCATAGTCCCCAAAGCAGTCTGGGCTAAGCTGGGATTCCAGAACACGTACGCATCCCAGGAAATCCTTGGTTTGTTGGACTTAGCACATGACTTGCATTGCTGCCCCCTGTGCTCCCAGTAAGGCCACCTAGAGGACAGAAACCTTCAGGACAGGAAGGTGAGGGCTTAGTTCCCAAATAGTTAAATGACTGTGACTACCTATTATTACCATGGCTACAATAATAGCACGGGTTATTAGTAATTCCAAAATGAAAGATGGGCAGTGCTTGCAATGTTGCAGCCATTTGCCAAATAAAGAGGTACTGACTTGCTTAGGTAAGACAGAGTTCTTTTGTGTTTGAGAGAGATGAATAATTATGCTGGATGCTGGCTTGTGCAGAAGCAAAAGGACTTCATTTTCTATGCTTCTCAGTGACACAGTTGTAATCCCCAGATTACATTAGGTGATTGAGCACCGGGAATGTGTGATGTTTTTTTAATAGAAGTCTATACTACATTAACAGAGGCCAAAGAAAGGAGGTTCCAGTATTAAAGAAAATCGTATAGGAGGAAAACTTCATTCATTAAGCTAATTTTTTCCCCTACATCTTATAAAAGGCCACCATTATTTCATTCTGCCCGTGAGAACATATTTTGACAGCTACTTCCCTAAGCAATCAACATATTTGTAGCTTTTTACATTTAGGGTTCACCTCCTCTTACTCTGCATCACACCTGAGAGTGGCCCATTTAGATATTTTGGGTACTCAGTAAATCATATGGTAACTCAAAACAGGGCTCTGTTAGATCACTGAGACAGTGCTAGCTTTGGGAATGCTGTATCCCAGTCTAAAGTGGATTGGGAGCGTTCTCTAAGTGTCGATGGGCACTCTCACAGGGAATGAGTGGACTCTGCAGTTTGTGTGAGAACTGGATGGAGCAGGTGCCTCCTGCTGGCTGTCACACTTTCCCCAGGACCATGAGGTCATTGGGAGGAAGGAGAGAGGGGTCACGGAGGGAGGAAGAGAGGGAAGGTGAGCTGAAGGAAAGAAAGAAGTGAGAAAGCTATTGAAAACAATATAATCATTACAAAATATTAAGTAGTTGTATGTGTAAGTGTGTGAATTTTACTCTGGGCTTTATAGAATTTTTAAGTGATGGGATTGGGTAATTTTTATTTCCTTTTTGTGCTTTTCTGAAAATTTCAAATATAATCTTAGGGTTAATAAAATAAAAGCTAGTTTTTAGACTTGGGACACTGCAAACCCTGGTCTTAATCTTGCAAGTTTAGAGCCTTCTTCCATCTTTCCTGGGCTCCATCCTTCATTTAAAAAGGTTGGCTTTTGTTTGGCCAAATGAAAACGTATATTCTAGCAATAACCTTCTTTTTCTCGCCCCCCCCCCCCTACCCCGGCACTCAGCATGGGACAGAGTGGGCCTCCTCTGTGTGTAGTGTGTGCTCCTGCACTCACGGAGAAGTCCGATGTAGTCCCCAACCATGCCCACCGCTGTTGTGTGGACACCAGGAGCTGGAATTCATCCCTGAAGGAAGCTGCTGCCCCATCTGTGTGGGCCCTGGGAGTGAGTATGAGCTTGTAAAAAGAGATCCGCTTTGCCTTTGAGGTTCACCCGGTGACACCCCAACTCTTCTCTTTCACGTTCAATGTGGTTCAAAGATTCCCAACCCCATTTCTTATTGGAACAAGACGGAGCCTTGCACTTGGCAGGAAGGGATGTTGCAAAGAGTGAGGTTGGAACAAATCTTTAAGCTTCCTCCCAAACTTAGCATTCTGCAAGTCCCTGATTTACCTATTTTGCCATGGCCAGGTGCATCCCTCTGCATTCATAGCTCCTGAGAAGGAAAGGAAGGAGGGACAAGATCCTTTGATGTGATTCCATAACACCAAGGTAGTTCCTCCGGGCTCCTGGCGGAGAGGAGAACGAACAAATCTCTCTGAATGTGGTATCACTGGCACTAATTCTGCTGGCTGGTCTTTGAGATGGCATAACATTTTTCTCCAAGACACACAGAGCAGGAAGCAGGTACTTCATCTGTCTTTATTGCATCTTCGCTGTGGAGATCATGCCTGCCTCCAAACCAAGGCACAGTTCGGCAGGCCAGCAGCACACTGCCAGGCCCTCTCCTTGGAATTCACTCCTGGTCCAAGTACCACTTTTATTGCATTTACGGATATATGTCCCCTTCCTTCACAATCAATGTGAATTGTTGTCATGGCTGCATTATGCTCTTTCCTGGCAAGTAATAGCTAATCCTTCTTTCTTTCTTTCTTTTCTTTTTTTTTTTTTTTACTTAATGGCACCTGGAAGCTCTACTCTTCTTGTCTTTTCCCTTTAAAAAGACCTCTGGTTTCTTTCTGATCCCCAATTATTCCATTTCTGGCCAGCTCTTCTCCTGGAGAACCATTCCAGGGATTAAATAGCATGTGAGGAAATGATGGAAGTAGAATGCTTGCCTCGTGCCTTTCTGATTCACTCACCAGAAAGGGACTGGCAGCTGCTTTAAGTCAAATTACCCTGCAAATAAAAATGCTTGAACCCCATAGGGTTTAGGGGTGGAGTGGAGAGTGGGCAGTGTGAGTCTGTGGGGTCCTGGCTCATGTTTTAGGAGGCTTTCTTGCTGGCCTCCATGAGAAAGACTCATTGGAAGCATTTTGTCTGGAGAGACTGGAGGATCAGCCAGGGCCAACTGCATAATTTGCGGGGTGGTGTGCAAAATGAAAAAGTGCCTGGCGCCTTGTGCAAAAAGCCAGGGGTGCGGGGGATGCTTTTTCTTTCCTTCTGTGGACTTTTCAACCTGTCCTGTTTTCAACTTGCTATTTTATATCATATTCCTTCAGGTGTGGAGATACTTGCTGGGTGGGTAGAGTCCTCCATGGGCTCCCAGGATCCCACCCTGCTACTTGGTGCTTAGGACACATGTACTTCCCTGGCACCACATCCAGGCCCCCGGGTGGTGGAGGGCGGCAGGTTTTGGAGCAGGAGGTGGAGAGCTCATCCCAAAAAGGCAAAGAGGAAGTGGGAGGTGGGACTGTGCACCAGCTGAGACCCTGAACCCCAGTGCATGCTCATTGGACTTCCCTTACAAAATGGAGAGTTATTAAGAACTCTGTACAATAACTGCAAAGCATTAAACCCTAAGAATGGGGCGTCCTTCTTTGTACTGGGTCCCAACATGGGACCCCATGTGATTGTACTGGCCACACACCCATGCATCAGCCCTGGGATCAGCAAGTGCAATCGCCCCAGTAATTTTTCTTTCTCTGACCTTCCAGAGTCCTGTTCCTACGAAGGCCGTGTGTTTCAGGATGGGGAGGACTGGCCACTGAGTTCCTGTGCCAAATGCATGTGTAGAAATGGGGTCACCCAGTGCTTCGCGGCTCAATGTCAGCCTCTGTTTTGTAATAAGGTAAGGAAGACAGCCTCAGAATGGATCCTTCCCAGGCTGTTAACTTCACTGCGCAGGACTTGGAGTCCCTTCGGAAATTATGTCAGGCCACCACGGAAGTTCAGGAACAAGGAGCCAAGGCTGTTTGTTTCCCTTATACTTTTGGAGACCACTGCTGAGACCTGGATTTCACCCTCAGAGGCTACAGTTAGTCTAATCACCAGCCATTTCGGCTGATTGTTACATTATGAAACTGAGCCTTGAGGGTGAACAAAAGGAAGCTGCCCACCCCAGTTGCAGATGTTCCAAAAATGTCAAGCTCAACATCTGGAAAATTCAGTAACATTAATCAGATTTGTTACTGTCGGACAATGCAAAGGTATATGCTGCTTTTTGAAGACATATATGTGTCTTTAGACATGATTATTCAGCCGTACACTATTTAATTCTTATAAGATAATGCTTCAAATTATCAAAGGATCTTCTCTGGGGTGGTTTAAAATAGTGGGATCTTACTGTTCTTTTAAAGCTGCTCTGATTTTCAAAACATTGTCACACAAATTTAAAACAGAAAATTAATTGCAAATAAATGTACACATGGTATTGTATAGTTTTTTACTCTTCCAGAGGCTCCTACGGAGATTTTTTGGCAGTTGACTGATAACCACGAAAAGAGTTTGCTTCCAGTGAAAAAAATAGCTCATTTTTTTGATCTAGGGAAAAGCTGGAAGCCAACATTCAGTTGATACAGAGCAGTACTTTGTGTCAAATAAAACAAAATCAATAACATGGCATATTGTGACAATTGGGCAATATTTTTAAAGGCAGACAAAAGGCAATTAGGCAAGAAATACTAAATGCCAAATAAAAGGAAAATGTATCTAATTGAAAGACTAGATTGTATTACCCACATTACACCCTACTACGCTCATGACACATCTCTTAATTCATCACAAAGTCTGTCCTAGCTTTAAGATTACAAATGAGCTTCTTGGTAGAAATGTACAATATCTTACATTCAGAGGACACTGCAGTGTTGAGGTATTTTGACTTACACATTCCAGGTCTCAGTCCCCTCCTGAATAAAGGATAATTAAGCAGTTTGCCGCCAATGCAATTAAGGAGGTGGGAGAAGGGATGGAGGAAACACCCCATTGGGACCCTTTTCTTTAAATCTTTAAAAACTTAGCCAGGGACTGTGTATTAGGGGATTGGATATTGTAATAATTGAAATTACTATTTCCCATTAAATATAAATTCTGGCTTCAAATGGAAGCTTCCAAACACATATAGCCTGCATTGTTTAAAGAGATGGAATTTGGTAGCATGATTTAGAGTTAATTGATGTGCAACCATTCTGAAGTATTGGAAATAGGTTGATTTTAATCCCTCTTGCATTATTAAGTCTACATTTTTGTCATGACATAATTTTAAAAAAACCAACTGTCAGATTATTTAGAATTATTTTTTATTTAATATCAGTATTAAATATTGGGTGTTCTGATGATGTAAAGAGATGCTGTAGAATTAGCACTTTTGATAGAAACATTATCACCACCACCATCTATCATCACCACATGCTGGGCATTTATTATGTACCAACAATTTGTTTTGAGAGCTTTAATTAATCCTCAGAACAACCCTAAGAAGTAGGAATTTTATTATCCCATTTTAGAGTAAATAAAACTGAGGCACTGAGAAGTAAGTAGTTTGCTCAAGGTACCAGAGTTAGAAAGTGTCAGTGCTTCTGTTATGGACCAACATTCGCGAGAATAAGACCACCGACTCCAATTAGGTCTTTAACAGCAAGCGAGGATTTATTGACCTGGCCAGCGACTACAGTTACAGCACCCTGCCGAAGCAGAGGCTGAACTGCAGCGCAAACTACAGGAGTTACATTGTATTATTAAATTCCGCGGAGGCCCAGAGAAAAAATGTGTCTTTCAAATTCTGGGCCCCCAAAATGGAGGAAACTCTCTTTATTTATGCTTTTTCCAGTCCTTTGTCTCCCAAATTTGGAATGAGACTTCCGGGCCTTCTGAGAAAGAAGGCCTGTGTGCTGGGAAGGGGCGATGAGACCATATCTCAAGGCCTGGCCTGATGTCAGTACCTTCCTATCTGTGTGTTCTAGGAACAGAGGGCACAGCGCGCCCCTGTCTGGCTGAAGCGCCAGATATACAGCCCAGCACACTTCTAGCTTAGGCAGTTCTAATCACAACTTCAACAGACCACACCTGACTTGTAATTTTAGCCATTATGCTATACTGCCTCCCAAAATGATGGGTTTCATGGCATTTATAGAATAATAATCACAATAGCAATAGTTGCTAACATCATTGTGCATGATTATGATTCTTTTATATATTAACTCATTAAATATTTTTTAAAAACCCACAAGTTCAGTAGAAGAAATGTATTTCCAGGTCTTGAGCTCTAGAAAAATTTGAATTTTAATATAAGGTTTTTTCATTATAAAAATAATTTGTACTCATTAAGGAAAGTTTGGCAAACACAGAAAAGCAGGAAAGAAAGTGATCCTCCATATTTTCATCATTTAAAAAGACCCTTATAGAAATTTTTTGGTAATGAAACGAGAACTTTGGACTGGAATGCGTGGTGTTCCCCTGGGCAGGATAGTTTTCCCGGGCTCTTCGTCCACTGGAGTGGAAGAATGAAACCAGGGAGGAAAGGTGGTATAGCAAAGGTGGAAATGTATTGAGAAATACTAGTAAGCACAGACTCCCACTGAGTCCCTTTTCCTACAGTTTTTAAAGGCTGCAGTTTTTTGTGCCTCAATATCCCCTCTGATTGGTCCCCTTTGATTTGGTCACTATAGCAACTCCTGAGCTCAAATGTCATGTGAAGTATGGGAGGTTCCCACCTTCTTCTCCCTTATTGTTCTTCTGTTTCCTCTGAGCTTTCCTTCCTCTTTCTTTGAATGAGGGGTTTCCTTCCCTTTATTCTGTAAATGTGTACCTTTTGCTACTCTCAGTTCCCTTGTCTTGTGGAAATGTACCCTTTTACAACTCTGTAGTCCTGTGTTTTTTTCCAGGGACCCCTTATTTTTTAAAAATTTTCTAAACCTGCCTATTTCACCCCTAAAAATTCCTTTCAGAAACTCATTTCCATTTTTTGATAAGCAAATGTGGATACATTTCTTTGTTTGCTTAGTTATGATTACATTTTAGAAGTTGGTGATAATCCTATTGAAAGGAGAAATGTCTTATGTTTAAATAAGGAGTTGTTCCCTTAGTGAGGAATGTAAATACTGAAATTGCTTGCTCTCAATTGTTCAGATGTCTTATGAAAAGAGCTCTAACCCAGCCACATTTTTTATGGGCTCATTAAAATTTCCTCTTTGGTCTGATCAGAGTTGTTCCTAATGATGTTACCACCGTGTTTTAGTACTATCTTTTCCTCGCTCCCAATATTGATTAATCTGAGTAGGCTGAACTTCATCTTCAGATATGTTGTTTTTTGAGCCACTAAGTATTTGAGAATCATTTTCTTGTTATCTATATTGATAAAAGATAATTAGTGGAGTCTAAAATTTGGGATGATTATGTTCTCTTTCCATCTCAGCCCTTTCGTCTTCTTTCTATTGAATTCTGGAATTTAGTGCCATGGAGGTCTGTCTGCTTTCTATTCCATTCTATTTAGGTGGTTTCACTCTGTTGGATTCTTGCAGGATTTTTTTTTTTAATCTTTATAATTCAAACATTTTCCCAGACATTTCTAGGCGAGGTGTCTTTTCACATATTTCGCCTAGAATATTGTAAGCCCTCTCAGCCTGAATTCTAGTTTTTGAAATATTTTCTATGGTTACAGCTCTGATTAATCATATTCTTTCCAGTTATCCCTATTCCTCCAGAAACACCTATGATTCTTAGATTGCTCCCTATCTTTCCCCTCATTATCAATCATATTCTTTCTCATCATTTTTCACTCTTTGTCTTTCCCCTGCATTATGGAGAGAGCCTCTTGAGTTTGTATTTACTACCTGTAGTATTGATTTTAATTTGAAGATTTCACATCAGTTTTCTTTTGATTCTTCCTTCTTTCTCCTATTGTTGGTTCATCTATTTTTTGATCCCAATGCTTATTCTTTTTTATTGTTTCCCACTTGTATTTAATAAAGAGTGCATTTTCTTACATCTTACTAAAGTTGCAAAACTGCTTTTAAATATTTTCTTTTGGATCTTAAAGTATGTAGTGTTCAGAAATCTGCTCTTTCTCTGAATCTTTAGAATGTCATTCCTTTCACTTTTTCTTCAAGGTTTTCCCCCCAAGTTCCTTTCTTTCTGTTTACCCCTCCGTGATCAAGAGAAATCTTCCCATACCCACTGCTTGAAAGCTGAAAAGATAAGAGGCCTGCCCCTGGCCAATTCCCCTTCTTAGAGCCTTAGCCAGATGCTAAGAAATGTGCATGTCCTCCTGGCCCAGGGGTCTGCCAAGTTTCATGTAGTGTAGCTCTATTGTACTGAGATCAAATATTCTCCTAACCCCACTGTCCAAACCTCTTACATTCTGAATGCATGAAACAAAAACTATAATCCCCAGTTTGAACTGTTGCAAGGGGCTCTTTCCATCTCTCTCAGAAACTATATGTTTTACATTTGGGGCGTCCTCCACACCCCACCCCTGCTTTTTATCACTCCCTCTACCCTCCAAACACACATAATCCCCACTCTTTTTTAAACTTACGGGCTCTGATAGATGTAGAAAAGAAGGTATTGAGGCCCCCTGATTGCCTCAAACAGCAGCAGCCATACACCAGAGGGATGAAGGTTGTGTTGTGTTTGATATAGGAAGGCAGAGAGTTGGGAAGACTATTTAGGCTTACAAACCAAAGGAAGGCCGCAGGATGCCTTATGGTTGGTCGATGGGACTTCCTCTTGGCAATGACAGGAGGTTGGCTGTTCTACTTTTTGTTGATGGAAGTTTTATCTCTTTCTATATCTTCAGAAGTGTCATAGTGGGAAAATACTTTATCAAGAGCTGTTAGGCCTATGACACTATACACTTCTTTATCTTAAGTATTTTTATTTAGGGATATATTTTATTTTATTTAAAATATATCCCTAAATGGTAGTTTGAACCAAAGTTATAATGACATTAATCAGATACATATATATTTTCATTGGACTCCTGTGATAACTGAGGGTAATATCTATATTAGCCCCGGGGTTAGCAAACTTTTGCAGATGGTGAAAAATTTCAGCTTTGAGTGCCATACAGTTGGAACAACTACTCGGCTCTGCCATTGTACCGCAGAACGTGCTGCGGACACTGTGTAAATGAATGGGTGTCATTGTGTTCCAGTAAAACTGAACTTGCGGAACAGGTGGTGGGCTGGATTTGGCTCAAGGCCCGTAGCTTTCTGGCCCCTGTATTAAACTGTACATTCGAAAGAGCAAATCTGCGAAGACCAGAATGATAGGATCCAGGTGTGTGATAGCAACAAAAGGCTTGTTAAAAAGCCGTTCCCATTTCTCTGACCCACCTCGCTGCTCACCTTCTTACTTGCCTCTGCAGTCCTCTGGCTCATGAAGCCTCAGCCCAGCTGGATCTCACCTCTGAATCACAGAGTTCTCTGGCATTCCAGGATATTTTCTCCTGAAATGCTTTTCCTTCCTGCCCTTGTTGGTCTGTATTTGTGAAGGAAGCATCTGTTTCTGCCAACAAATTACATAATTAGGTATTGCCAGTAAGAATCAGAAAGCTTGATTTTCCCTGTACCAACCTCCATATCAGCAACTCCGCCCTCCCCTGCTCTCCTGCTTACTCTGCTGCTATACTTGGGTTGAGTCCAGGTTGGTGAATATAGATTGATACTAACTCAATTTCTTCTCAAGATTTGTGATCATGACATTTGTTCCCTGTTTACTTAACGTTGTATAAGTTCATTTGTTTACTTCAATGAAGACATTGAAGACTGTGATATCAGATAAACTTTTATTTTATTCCTCACTGAAATGTCATTAAAGAGTTCTGAAGTCAAGAAATGCTCAGTGATTTCAATCCATATCCAGTTTTCACAGGCTCTGTTAAACATCAATCGTCATCATATTTTGCATATAGAATCGAAAGAAATAAAATAACCTAAAGTATAGAAAAGTTGTCAGTTTAATTACAGTGATTCAGGTGTTTGAAATAGATCCTATTACATAGCAACATGTTAATCTAACTCATCATATATAATTGGGGTAAACGAACGACTGAAGTATGACTGTAATTTTCCAAGAAAAATTAAGGTTATTTGGCAGCTCCACCCCTTCTCTCCCCCCAGTACACCGACCTTGTTTTCCCTGCAGAATGAACACCAGAGTAACCATGGTAATAAAACCTCATTTTCTGCTTCTAATAAGGGAAGGAAGAGAACTGTTATGAGGTATTCTCTATATAAGATCTACCACTTCGTAGTCATTGAAACTTGGTTTGTTCTAATCCTCCTTCCCCTGCCTTTAATTGGTCTATCTTCCTGCCCATCAATAAGACTGTAGTGATGAGTCAGAGTGAGAAGCTGGCTTTTGGGCATTACGGAGGAGACTGTTGCTGTGAAAATTCTTAGGGCAGCGGAGACAGAATGGGTTGATATTCTGGGGTTGAGGTGGGGTGTTAAAGGTGCATAAGTACTGACATATTCCCAGATGTATAGAGATAAGATTACTTTCTTTTCATGTTAAGGACCTCCCTAATGCACATATGTAAGTGTATGGGTTCACATAAAGATGCAAAAAAATAGTGAAGTAGTCTATGAGGGATACCTTCTCTTTGAATTTAAAGGTAACTCAGCAGGGGTGTAAGTGCTCTTAGGTGTTGCTATGGTTAGTGCTCTGAGTTTCCACTACTGACCATTTACTACTGCCAGGTCAGCTGTGTGACCTTGGGTGAGTCACATAACCTCTCTGTGCTTACTTTTCTTGTTTGTAAAGTGGCAATAAGAGCATCTACTTCAGAAGGTTCTTGCCAAGCATTTAAAACAATGCCAGGAAAATACTAAGTACTATTATTATTGTTAAGGTTATTATTTGTGCTTTTGTTTGTTTTTAGAAGAGGCTGGGACTTAATGAATGTATAAACTTCTTAATAGTCACACTGACCTTGGAAGTGCTAATTTTTATCAAAGCACTAGGTTACTAATAGATACCAAATGTGAGGAATTGCTGTTTATGGATGCTTGAGGCACATGCTTCAGTTGGCTATGAATAAAATTTTCCTACTTTTATGGATTTTATTAATGCTTCCTTTTGATGGATTATCCTTTTCTGGGTATTCAGGATGAAACTGTGGTTCGAGTTCCTGGAAAATGCTGCCCCCAGTGCTCTTCCGGATCCTGCTCTGCTGCTGGCCAAGTATACCAGGTAACCTCTGCTGTACCCCATGCAGGTGTTTGACATACATTTTCACACATCTGCCCTCCATTCTTTCAACCACTGTACCTCCTGCCCTCATGTCTGACTCTGCCAGGATTAGTAACTCAGTACATAAGCATCTTTTTTCTTCTCTACATGGAAAGCCTTTATAAAAAAATTAAATGGGAGGGAATTAGAAATATAAAGGAATGTGCTGGCAAGCAGCCCCCAGCTCATGAACCTTGGCGAACTTACTGTTCATACGTCTTGAAGAGAAAAAAGGACTGTCATTGGTCACTATCAGTTTACACTTAGGTTGTCTGCTTTGGTTGGATTTTATGTACTGATATTTAGAGATAATGCCCCCTTACCTTACACTGAGGGGGGTGGGGGGGGCTGGGGGTGGTAGGTGAGAGAGGGAAGGGAGGCAGGGGGTTGGTGGTAGTGGATCCTCTAAACTTCAAAGTACTATTGGGCAGTCTGGATAGCTGCCTAATAGATAGTAGGCTTCAAGTAAAAACCAGTCCAACCGAGGGAATAAATCAATGAATATTCTGTCTTAGGAGTGCCCAAATGAGCCAAAAGGAGGTTACATTATTCAAAAGCAAAGAACATATTAAGAGTGAACTCAACTACTTCTCTTGCTTGTCAACTACTCTAAGGAAGATTAAACAGATATTGGGATTATGACTCTCAGTAGAGAATTTGAGGGTGGTGTCACAAATTATAGGTGGATCACATGAAATATGAATGCAAATAACTAATGGGGAAAGGATTTTTGGGTACACTAGATCTGTGTTGCCCGGTACAGTAGCCATATATGTGCTAGATTAATTTCTCATGGAAGAAATAGCCTCTGTGTCTGTTATGAGGTTTTTGGTTGCAAGGAACAGAAACACTCCTCTAAAAGTAGCTAAAATGAAAACATATATTGTCTCATGTAACAGGAAGTTCAGAGGTAGGGCAGTTGCAGGGTTGCTCAGTTCGGGTCTCAGGGATGTCGTCAAGGATCTAAGCTCTTTTGATCTTCCCACCCTGCCATACTCAGTATGTAGCATTTGCCCTCTGTCCTGTCTCCTCCAGTCCCCAGCATGGCCTCGGCCCCAGGCAGCTTACCCTCACATAACCATCACTAAAGGCTGGCGGAAGAAAGGAGTGTCCTTTTCTTCATGGGGAGACAAGTCTTCTTGACCTCTGCCTCTCTAGCAAACTTCCCATCGGTCCCCTCGGTCCTGCTATAGGGGAAGCTGGGAAAAGAAATATGTGGCAGAGAGAGCTGGGTTGCCTGACAAAGAAGAAGAACTAACGAATGACCATTGACTAGCCAACAAACGGACTCTATGTGTCCTCTGTGTGCCTGGCATGGGGCAGGCCCTCAACACATCTGTGGGATGAAGAGAATGGAATGACAGTTAATCCAGGGTTCCCTCTGGACACTTATTGATTTTATTCTGAGAGGCTATTGCTACCTAAATGATATCATTTCTCACGAGTACATTCAGATTGGCTCCATTAAATTGAAATAAAAAATCATTTGTCGTACGCGCCTGTGTTTCTACTTGATATACATGACATTGGATTTTCCCCTTTCTTCTTTTTAAAATTTTTTTTTCTTTTTCTCTTTTTAAAATTTCTTTATTGATTGAGGTATTACATATGTGTCCTTATCCCCCATTGCCCCCTGCCCACTCATGCCCTCACCCCCCTGTTGTCTGTGTCCATTGGTTAGGCTTATATGCATGCATATAAGTCCTTTGGTTGATCTCTTTCCCCCTTATCCCCACCCTCCCCTACCTTCCCTCTGAGGTTTGACAGTCTGATCGATGCTTCTCTGTCTCTGGATCTGTTTTTGTTCATCAGTTTATGTTGTTCATTATATTCCACAAATGAGTGAGGTCATGTGATATTTATCTTTCTCTGACTGGCTTCTTTACTCAGCATGGTGAAAAGTGGAGTGAAAACGCCTGCACCACCTGCCTATGTGACCGGGGCGAGGTCCGGTGCCACACGCAAGCCTGCCCCCCTCTAAGATGTGAAAAGGTACCGAGAGAGCGTGTAGCGTGACTTTCAAAGTTTTATTCTGGGCCACTTCAGACATGGGTTTCTTAGTTCAGTGTGTCCTTGGGGGCAATCAAAAGTTTATAATGTTTAGTATATCAGATAAAGGTATGAAAGGTCTGCTTCCAGGAAGGAGGGCTGAGGGGAGGGGGACTTGCCGGTCTGGGTGAGGTGGGGGAAGAAGAGAGGGTGGTGGGTCGACATGGCCTCCTGTCCCTCTGGCTGGGATGTCTCCTGAGCACCCTCCTTCCCCCCCTTCTTCCTGTTTCCTCAGGGTCAGAGAAGGGCTCAGCGCCATGGGGAGTGCTGTGAGGAATGTGTGTCTCCTGCCGGAAGCTGCTCCCACCACGGGAGTGTGCGGTACCAGGATGAGATGTGGCAGGGCTCGGCCTGTGAGTTCTGCATGTGTGACCGCGGCCGAGTGACCTGCCACACCGGAGAGTGTGCCAGGGTGGAGTGTGCCCAGGTAAGAAGCAAGGGCATTTCCACCTGGACTGTGAGAGCGCTCTCAGATGGGATAGGGGGTCCCTCCCCGGTTCCCTACTTGTTGGTAGCAGAGGGGTCCACCCGACCAGCAGGTGGACTGCTTCTAGCACGAGGATGCTGTGGTTTAAAGTAAATGTCCCTGTTTGCTCAGACAGGCTCGGAACAGTCCCCTGGAGCCTTCAGCGCTCAGGGCATCTGGTCAGAGGGACAGACACAGGAAGGGAAGGACACGATGTGGCCATGAGCCTCTCCACCAGTGCAGCTGACCTCATTGCTGGTGCCTGCCCAGCTGGCTGTGCTTGCGAGACAGAGGCCCTCGGGGGCTCCAGGCTCAGCTTCTGCTGCAGGCCCACTGGCAGCGGTTACTCAGAGAGGAGGGCCAGCACCAAGGGGCTTCTCCTGGTGCCCAGGAAAGAGAATAAAATGTTTTTATGTTTTTGTTCTAAGTAGGGGGTGGGGGGACTCAAGAGTAATTAACTCCCTTGACCTCTTTTAATTTCTGCTGTCTGCTGAATTTCTAGAAGCCTCTCACAAAGTAGCCCCTGTTTGCACTATAGTATATTGTAGGGAAATTGCTTTTTTTCTCTCTCTCTTTGAACTCAATTTTTACCCACTGCAAAACAAATTGCTTTTAAAGTTGCCTCTTTCTCCCCTACCACTCCCTTCCGCCCCACCAGTTCCCTGTGGGGTTGTGAACTTGAACAGAAGAGGGAAACTCCGGGGATCAGAGGCACTGGGTGTCTGTAAAGATATTTTTCTTTCTAATTCTTCCTCCCCACGTCTCAGCTCCTCCTCACACTGAGCCTAAGGAGGAACGACCTTGCAAACAAGCCTGCCTTGACAAGGTTATTTTTCATTTGCCTCCTACGTCGGAGTCCTGGCAGACCTGAGACATGTTTAAGTAAAGCAGGTCTTGCTCCTTGCAGATTTACTCCCCCCCCCCCCCCAACACCTTTTCATTTCTTCTCCTTGATTATGTCAGGGCGTCAGAATGGTTGGATGAAGATGAGAAAAACCCTAATCAGGGCCCTTGTCTTTCTCCCTCTCTCGGGCTGAGGCAGGGCTTCCTGGCCTCGGCAGTCTGCCCAGAGGATGCTGGGTTATTTCCCAAGGTTTTAATTTGTCTCAGATCTTTGGGTTTATGGAAAACATGGAAGACATGATCCTGGTCGGGTGAGTCCTTCTGCCATCTATTTTGTTTGAACAAGGAGTCGCTCTCAGAGAAAATCATTTGACCTATTACCCCCAATGTTGGGGAGTTTCCAAGTGCTTCCTGTGACACCTACATGTGGCAGCTTAAGCCAGGTCTCTGTTTTTAGGGAAAATGAGGAGCAACTACGGATGTAAGTGGAGAGGGCCTCGGTAGTCTTCAATAGCACTACCTCATCTCTTTCCACTTTCATCTCCCATCCCCACCTCATCTTCTCTCCTATTTCTTCAGGTGCTTTTTTCCACATTACTTCCATGTTCCTAAATTTCATTTAAGGCGCAGGGTTCTAAACTGGAAACACTATCAGAAGTGAAATTTGCCTGACCAGAGTGGCTCAGTGGTTGAGCATCGACCTATGAACCAGGAGGTCATGGTTTGATTCCCAGGCATATGCCCGGGTTGTGGGCTTGATCCCCAGTAGGGGGCATGCAGGAAGCAGCCCATTAATGATTCTCTCTTATCATTGATGTTTCTATCTCTCCCTCTCCCTTTCTCTCTGAAATAAATAAAAATATATTTAAAAAAAATAAGTGAAATTTTAACTAAAATCGAATCTTACAAAGAATATTGCTTAGCCTTCTTTCTATGCTGTACATCTGTAAATAATGACCTTGGTTAATGACCTTGTGTAAACCTGGGCATGTTAACCTTGGTAGTATGGTTAATGACCTTGGAAAAGCTTGGACATACTAACTTCCCAACTTCTGTTTAGTTGGATATAGAAGGATGAACAAGACATATTCTCATCTAAGAGTTCCTAACCTTTGGGGAAGTCAGATACATAGACAGAAATTATAATCTGTGCTGACACTAACAATTATGGAAGTATAAATTAAATGCATTAGGAACACCTGCAGAAAATGATTATGTCTGCCCAAGGGAGCAGTGAAAATATGCTACTGGTATTTTTATTCAATTCTCACCTACTTGCTGCCTTTTCTAGAATATCAAGGTCATTAGATTTCTAATCTTGGATAGCAAGGGTGGATTAAGTCTAAGTGTTTGCACATCCACAAAGATGAGGAAGCAAATTGTGCAGCTTCACAATTGTAATGATTATTTCACTGGTTATCAACAGCAGTATTCTGAAGAGCATTGAAATCAGCACACAACTCTTCTTCAAAAAGGAGAACATGGTTCCCTGGCGGGTGTTGCTCAGTGGTTAGAGCATTGGCCCACACACTGAAGGATCTCAGGTTTGATTCCTGGCCAAAGGGAATGTACCTGGGTTGCAGGTTCAATCCCTGGCCCCTGTGGGGGTACATGAAGGAGGCAACCAATCGATGTGCCTCTCTCTCTCCTCTTTCCCTCCCATTCTCTCTAAAAATCAATGGAAAAAATATCTTCTGGTAAGGATTAACAAAACAACAACAAAAAAAGGGGAACATGGTATGACCCTTGTCTTTGACATAGTAAAACCAAATTCCTAGACGTAGGAACATAAATCAACAGTAGAATAGCACAATACAATGATTTTCATTTTCCTATATTTTGTGTTATCTTTAAAGATGAATTCAGATAAAAAAGTCAAATTACCTTTTTTTTTAAGGGATCTAGCATTCATGCATACAGGGGTGGACAAAGTAGGTTTGTAGTTGTGAATACGTGAAACAGAGTTTATTATTGTATTATGTTTATTAATCATTATATTATTTTCCAAGTGAACAACTGTAAGCCTTCTTTGCCCCACCCTGTATATGAGACATAAACTTATGGGGCGATTGATGGGTGATTGTAGCAAAGTGCATGGGAGGGGGTAGGCATGTCATAAAAGTGAGGTGCCTTTCCCTTCTCCAGTAGAGGAAAAGCCTCTCAGAAGAGTGTTTCCTTTCCCAGTGGGCAGGTGTGTGGAGATTTTGTCTGGTGGGTGGATATAGGTGTGATTCAGTGGGGAGGGGTGAGCAGAATTCATTTGGCCCATGCAGCAGAATCTTCTCAAAAGAAAAAGAATTAGTTTTGTTTCACAAAGCAATTTTTCTCCAAGCAAAAGTCAAAAGCTAATTGGAGTGAGTTCCCCACCGCAGTGAACTGACACAGTTTGGGGCATTCAGGCTTCTATAAATAACAAATCTATTTAGAACTAACCACCTCACCAAAACCGAATCCTTGCTGCCCGGGAGCAGGGCTTGCTGTTATTTACAGGAGCAAAGGAAAACTCAGAACTGCCACCTTCTTTGCTTTGTTGGGGTGATGCAGGCTCCATCTTCAGTGTTGTCTCTGTATTGTAGTGGGCACTCAAGAATCTCATGCATTTTGTCTTTAATAGAAGTACACATACTCTGTCTTGTTTCAAAACATTGTTTTAAGCAACGTAGATTACATGCCTATAAAGCCCTTTTTACGCTTTCAAATCAAATTTTACCATGTTTCTGGGTTATGCCTTCACTACTAGCTCATTTGTCACATTTCTGCAAAACAATTTATATGTAAATAGCCTGCTCTCTGTAGCACCCATTGGCCTCTGATTTGGCATTAGATTTTGATAGGCATCGATCTATAGAACTCCCTTCTTATTGACATAACTTCTTAGACACTAAAAAGTTCATGTGTGTGGTGTTTTTTGTTTGTTTGTTTGCTTCTTTAAAATGTTTATGTTTTCCTTCATTAAAATAATACGTTTTCATTTTAGGAAATTGAAGACAAGAAAAGTGGAAGAGACTTTAAAATCTATTCATAATGCTACAATTCAAAGCAACCAATGCTGTTTTTATATTTTTCTTTCATGCACAGTGTTTTAAACATATAATATCATTGTGATTATTCTGTTTAAGCTATCTTACATGATTTAATTTTTTGCCTAACATGGTTTCTACACTTTATTTTTTTTTCTGATTTTTTTATCTAGAGGATTTATCCAGTGATGTCAGTGATGTATTAAAGTCCCCTACTATGATTGTATCATTGTCGATCTCTCTCTTGTTATCTTCCAGGAGTTTTTTTATTTATTTGGGTGCTCCTGCATTGGGTGCATATATGTTTATCAGGGTTATATCCTTTTGTTTTATCGATCCCTTTAGTATTATGAAGTGGCCTTCCTTATCTCTTGTTATGGCCTTCACTTTGAGGTCTATTTTGTCCGATATTAGTATTGCTACCCCAGCTCTTTTTCATTTTCAGTTGCCCGAAAGATATTTTTCCATCCCTTCACTTTCAGTTTGTGTGAGTCCCTTATTCTGAGGTGGGTCTCTTTCTACACTTTAGATATAATATAGTTCCCAAATGAAATAATGTCTTCATTTAAAGAGACATCACCATTTTTTAGAAAATAAATATATCTTTACAAAGTGAAAAGTGCTTTCAAGAATACTTTTTAGCTCATAGACATTAGATATTAGTGTATGCATACAAAAAATTGTAAATGGAGATTGTATTTTTAACCGGAGATTCCCTGAGAGGTAAAGCTCCCGTGGAATTATACTTTCTAAATTACAAAATTCAGAATTATTTAATTTTTATACTATTTATTATTATTTTGTAATTAAAAACAAAAATTTTGAAATTGCTGATATTGGGAAGTTAAAATAATAACAATTTGAAAGTTAAACATCTACTTTCCTAGTGTGGCATTTCTTTCCTTCCTCATAATTTTTAAAAATAGTGATTATGTAAGTTAGATAACAGTTTCAGAATATTGAATAGCCATTGTTCTATGTTTAACTTATGCCTGAGACTACATCTGTGCACAAAGGAACATGTCTGGTTTTGTTTTCAAGGGAAAACATTGGTTTGACTTGAGCTGTAAATGAAACCAACCACAAGTTCAAACCTTGTGTATTGAAGAAAGCCTGATCCTTTTCTGAAACTCATAACTTTCCAAGACTGTAACATTAACCTTGGTCATTCTTGTTATTCATGTGAGCTCCTGATCCTGGGTAGGAAATTATTTAGGGATCTGTGCACAAGTATCACCAGAACTGGGAAGAAAAAGGTTTTGGGGATGACTAGTGACTATACTGAGCAGACTTTCTGTAGGAAGACAGTGCTGCGGTGGTGGTGGTGGTGGTGGTGGTTGGGGGGCGGGGGGGATTCAATGAGTCCTGGGCCAAGGCGCAAGAGAGCGCTCAACGTTTTTCATTCCAGTCAGGGAATCCAGCTGCTTCGAAATTTAACATTGCTACCTGGGGATGTTAATTTGATAAGTCTCTCTGCAACCCTTACTTCTACAGGGTGAAGAATTAATTCACTTAGATGGAAAATGCTGTCCTGAATGCATTTCAAGGAGTGGCTATTGTGTTTATGAAGAAAATGCAGAATTTGTGAGTATTGGGCAAATAACTAAAGGCTAATAAGAACTAATAATTCAAAAAAAAGAACTAATAATTCAAAATTAATTTAGTGAGGGGGTATTAACTCCTCATTTCTTTCACCTATTCATTTGTTCAACAAATATGATTGTGGACCTACTATGTGACAGGTACTGGGGATGCAGATGCAGATATAGTAGGTACAGTCCATATTCTCATGGAGCTTACATTGTAGTGTGGGGACACAGAGGACAAAGTCCTGCCTAGAGTATAAAGCAGCTTAATGGACTAGGGAGTACCTGGGATGGAGGCACCTTATGTACTCTTTTACATAAGGTGGTCGGGGAAGTCTCTCAGGCAGAGAAATTTGAGCATAATTTCTCAGCAATTGAAAAAGCCTGAAGCAGAAATGTGTTTGGCACGTTCAAGAAACCCCAAGAGTATTGCAGCCCGACTGGTGTGGCTCAGTGAGTGTCAACCTAAGAACCAGAAGGTCACCGTTTGATTCTGGTCAGGGTTGCAGGCTCCATGCCCAGTGTGGGGGGTGCAGGAGGCAGCTGATCAATGATGCTCTCTCATCATTGATGTTTCTATCTATCTCTCCCTCTCCCTTCTTCTCTGAAATCAATACAAATATATATATTTTTAAAAGTGAGTATGGCTGACACCAAGTGACTGAGGGGAAAGGAGTTGGAGATGAGATTCAGTAGTTGCCTGGATGCAATGATAAAGATGTGTTTACCCTGATGCAGATGGCAGCTGCTGGGCAGTGCTAAGCAGAGCAGTGCCTGGGATCTGGATTACTTGTGAGAGGATCATTTGGGCTGCTACTTGGGCAAGGGACAGACGGGATGAGATTAGAAGTAGGTGGTTCAGTTCAAAGGTTTTGCCATAGTCCAGAGAAAGGGTGATGGCGTCTTGGCCTAGGGAGGAAGTGGTGAAAAGTGACCAAACCCTGGGTTTATTTTGCAGAGAGGATCGAAAAAATTTTGATGGATTGGATGTTTTGAAATTCTATTTGCTAAGGTTTTATTTCTCCCTATATCTGTACTTTTCTACTGTGTAGCCAAAGGAAAAAAAATATTTATCTTAATCTTTTCAAATGTATTCTATTCATGTAGCCCATATTTTTCACATGAGGTTGTGGAATGTTAATAAGTTCACCGTGTTCTTAAAAAACCTGCCCGTTGATCATAAGTACAACTGCTTCATTGACCAATCAGAAGAGGATGATAAGAATTAGGATTAGGTACTTTGATTTGTGAACTGATTCCTATATACTTTTTCTCTGTGATCTGGGTAGATTGCATCTATCCACCTGCCAGTGTTCTGTATGTGTTGAGGAGGCAGTAATGTGTAGGGTTAATGTGCAGGCACTAGGTTGAGATCCCTACTTTGCCACATACTGTGATCTTGGGCAAATTATGTAATAATACTCAGCTGTAAAGTAGGGATAAAAATGGTACTACCTCATGGGTCTATTGAGATGATATGTATAAAGCACTTAGAACAATGCCTGGCACACACAAAACAGCTTTAAAAGGATATTATTGTTATTATGTTGTTGGCATTGTTTAATAGTGGTGTTTCATAGTTCAGTCATTCTTGTTTCTTAAGAATTTAAGAGGTTAAAGGTTCCCTATAAATGTTGAATCTGTATTTTCTCAATCATAGTATTAATTTTTCTGCTCATTTTTGGAGGTCAATTAAGCTCAGTGGAATTAAAATAAATTTTAAATTATTTTAAATAAGCGCAAATCCCCTTAATGCTCTTTCTAGTTCTGCGCAAGATTCAGGAGGTTCTTACAAAGTTAGCTCTCTTGACTGTGAAGTCCTTCCCATTGAGGGGAATGGAAGCCAAATGCTCAAACACAAAGTGAGAATGAGAATTTAAAAATATTTCCTGGGCTTCTTTTCTTCACCTCATATTGCTATGCTTTTCTTTTTTTATATAAAGATAGATTTTATTCCTATTCATAACTGACGAATGGTGTTGCATGTCACTTGGGGGAAGATGGATAGTTTCTAATGAAAAAACAGGTAGATCAGCCTAATGGTGTTTTGAGTGGTATAATAGAAACATTTCTCTTTGTCCCTAGATGTCCTCAAATGCGAGTGAAGTTAAACATATTCCAGTAAGTATAGATTTTTAACTTTATGTAGACACTTATAAAATTGTTTTAAGCAATGATCTGCATAAACTGTTCTGTGGAACCTTACTGCCTTAGGATTTGTAGCAGTCATGTTTGATGGCCACGGCCTCAGATTAAGAACCTTAACAATAACTAAGACTTTGATTCTTTGAACTTTTCCTCCTTTCTTTAGCTTGCCCCCCCCACCCCCCACCCCCCATTGGTAATTAATACTTCAACTACAAGCTCCTACATAGATCCTTTTCCATTCTTGTGATGATTTTCTCCTCCTGAATTTTCTGGCCTAAAATGGCTCAGTTTAGCCATTAGTGCAATTTCATGTACTGCAAAGCATTCAAGAGAGAGCTTTTGGGTCTTGAGAGTGTTCACTCTCCAAGCAATACCACGTGTTCACTCTCTCTGTAGTGTTTGCAGGACAGTGTTGTATGGCTTCTTTTTAAGGGAAAATGTAAGCATGTTTGTTCACCCGAGCAACCTTACACTGTTGGAGGTTATGGAATCTGGTCTGCCTTGAAATGGAAGAAAAGCATTTCTGCTTTCTCAAGATAATCTCGCTCATTTTTGTAATATTGTCATTCATTGTTGCTAAATACTGCCACATTGGAATTTTAACATGGTTTGGCTTAATAAATATTTTATCAAATCTTTGTCTTAAAATATGTTCTCCTATTACCTGTTCTACCTCCTTCATCACCCCCAAAACCTTCTGGTGGGAACCTTTGTCTCTTTCCTATATTTTGGGCAAGTGGGATAGCAAGCAATAAATAAATAAATAAATACTCTTTATAATTCACAGTAGATTCTCTGTCAAAGTACTAATGTTTATTACCACAATTTGCTTGGTGGGAAAAAATATTTTAAAATATATTTATTTTATTGATTTTTTACAGAGAGGAAGGGAGAGGGATACAGAGTTAGAAACATTGATGAGAGAGAAACATCAACTCAGCTGCCTCTTGCACGCCCCCTACTGGGGATGTGCCCGCAACCCAGGTACATGCTCTTGACCGGAATCGAACCTGGGACCCTTCAGTCCTCAGGCTGACGCTCTATCCGCTGAGCCAAACCAGTTAGGGCGGGAAAAAATATGTTAGTGTAAAGCTGCCCATGGCACATCTACAGCCCACTAAAAAGGTACCTGCCAGGCCCTAACCAGTTTGGCTCAGTGGATAGAGCGTCAACCTGCGGACTGAAGGGTCCCAGGTTCGATTCTGGTCAAGAGCATGTACCTGGGTTGCGGGCACATCCCCAGTAGGGGGTGTGCAGGAGGCAGCTGATTGATGTTTCTAACTATCCCTCTCCCTTCCTCTCTGCAAAAAAATCAATAAAATATATATTTTTTAAAAAGATACCTGCCAGAAGTTTCACTAAGAATACAATGACACTACTGTTACTCTTACCATAGCAACCATAAGGAAATTCAGGGCTTCCACCAGCTTCTTATAGTTATTATAAAAATTGCAGGTAATGTATCTGCTAATCACTAGGTACTGAGTAAACCCCTCTGGTGTTTTCTCTGTGAGATGGGATGGGAAACAAGTGCCCTATGCTTCTTACTTATTGTGGGAGCCCCAGAATGCTTTCACAAAGTATCTCTCTGCCTGGGTTCTATATTAAAATAACCCAATAAAAACAAAGAATTAGAAATACTGTCCTTTTAAATTTAAGACACCTCTACTAATGTCCTATTTCAGAGTTAGGTTTGACATGGTACTGATCAGGAGCCTTCACTTTGTCCCATATGGAAATGATAAATTCTCCATCAGCAAACTGTCTTCAAAATCTCTGCACTCTGCTAACAACACCTTTCTTGTCTCATGTAGGAGGGAGAGAAGTGGGAGGATGGCCCTTGCAAGCTGTGTGAGTGCCGGGGGGCTCAGGTAACTTGCTATGAGCCCTCATGTCCACCGTGTCCAGTGGCTACACTAGCCCAGGTGGTGAAGGGACAGTGCTGCCCAGAATGCACGGCAGGTGGGTCCATATCTAATTTATTTCTACTGAGATGTTTTCTGCTGTCAAAAAAACTCAGAGATCCTCTCCCCCTGCCCTTGTTTTTTTTTTTTTTCCCAAACCACCCATTTACTCTGTTGGTTTTTTTTTGTTTTTTCCTTCCTAATTTTTCTAACAAATGATGTTAATTCATCTTTGTCCAGGTATTTGCCAAATTCAACGGATGATGAGTATATGACCCCTGGCCAAGTCATTGACCATCTCTAAATCTTAATTTTCTTGTCAATAAAATGTGCTTTATCTACCTCACAAAGTTATTGTGAAAAATCAAATAACATAATTTTTGAAAACTTGTAATGGCAACTATTTGGTAGGACTGTTTCTATTTTTAAGCTATAAGGACAATTGCTGAAAGTTTGTTATGGATGTCCATTTTTTTTTAAAGGTGAGCTATTAAACAGATGGTTTCTTTTGCAATTCTCAAAAGGGTTTTTGAAGTTTAAAGACTCATTAATTTCTTCCAAAAGACATTTTTACCTACTTGTTCTGCAACTCTGCTTTCAAATCACCTGGGGTGGAATTAGTTCCAGTTAATAATTGTTGGCAAGCACTGGGGTTACTCTGGCTGAGCAGTAATTTGCCTATGAGCTTTGTCTCTCAGAGAAGTGGCATTTTCTTCCATTCATATTTCATAATTAATTGTTTTCATCCATGGGTTGCAGCTTTTCATATTGGCAGTTGTAGTACTCAACTTATTTTGGCTAATCACAGTGTTTCGTGAAGAGTGTATTATGAGAAGAGCAAAGCAACTTTATGTTTTAATTACATTACCTTCGCCAAAGCGGCTCTCTGGGCTTTCCAAAGCAAACATTTAGCCCACGATAATGTAGCATACCTTGAAAATCATGTCCTTGACAACTTTAATGCCTGAAGGAAATTCTTTGCTGACAATTACCGTTAAATTCAGTGATAATCCCAGTTACGAGGAATGATATTTGACATTTTAGAGAAAAAGAAGAAAACTGACTGTATTTCTTTTTTAAAAAAATACGATTTAAAAAAATATATATCGGTTTTATGTCTTAACGTTTTATGCACATCAAAGCTTAAGAACATCTGAAAACTCATAAATTATCGGATCTGTTTAAATCATATATTGTAGAGCTAGCCATTCCTGTCTTAAGAGGAATTCCTGCAGGTAGAAGCATTAATAGGCTGGTTTGGTAATGTTTTTAGCATCTTTAATTTGAAGCTATAGGAGACAGTGATGTCATTTCAGATAAGGAGGGATTTTAGGAAATCTTGCATTAAAATAATTTTTTTTCTATTTGGGAGCTTTTTTCCTACTTAAGTCCCAGAGTTTTCTCTTCTTCATATTCCATACAGCTCTTTTTTGGGGATGATGTAAGAGAAATAAATTAGATGGTCTTTACTGAGTTTTCTTCTTCTGTATCTTTGATTGCAGTTTACTGCCACCCAGACTGCTTGACCTGCTCTCAATCTCCAGACCACTGTGTCCTCTGCCAGGACCCCACGAAGCTGCTGCGGAATGGACGGTGTGTGCACAGCTGCGGCCCAGGATTTTACCAAGCTGGGGCCCTCTGTTTAGGTATGGCTCCAAGCAGAGCATCCAGAGGTGGACAGAGGCTGACTGCTGTCAAGGAGGGGGTCCTGGATGCAGGAAATGCACAACTTCCAAACCATTATTAGATAATAAAGCCATCCATAGGTTACTCAGCTTCTTTACCTGCAGGTCTCTTTCTTCTAATATTTTACAGGTATTTCTAGTCTTACTGGCAGATAGGTGACAGGGAGGGCAGATGCTTGCTATGTAGTCATAGCTGGATTTTTCATTTTTTGAAGGATAGTAATATCAGGATGCTTGGTGTCATTTATTAAAACATGCAGTGAATCCAAGATAGAACTTTAGTATTGACACGGACCTTTGAGATCACTTATTAGAACTTTTTCATTTTGCAAATGTGGAACCTGTCGGACAGAGAATTAACCTGCTTTCTCAACATCACACAGGGAATTGGTAATAGAGCTCATCTCTCATGGGTTCTTACGAGCGGATCCAGAATGTGTTCATGTGTATTTTAGAATTCTTATATGAAGTGAAAAGGAGAACTTACCTGGGAAAATTTAGTATGGTTGAGGTCAAATCATAGTTGCTTTTTTTTTCTATTTCTGAGTCATAGCGTTAACTATGAATTTAAGAGTGTATAGGTTCATACCCTGGCTGTGAGTATTTAAGCTTTCCGTACCTCAATATTCTCATCTGTAAAATGGGGTAACACTGGTGCCTTCCTCAAATGGTTCTTGTGAAAATTAAGTGTGTCAATATGTGTGAAGTGTCTAGGATATAGTCATGGATCAATATAGGTTAACCGTTTTTATTATTTTTGCGATTATTCATTTACTCCTACTTTCTCTCCTGATTTATAGTCTTCAGACTGTTTGAAATTTATTTATATCTCTGCCATAGGTTGTGAAGGGAAAGAGTCCAGGGGTATTTTTGTGAAATAGTTGAGTGAGAAAGATATTGGGGACTAGTGGATAAAAAGAAAATAACTCAGACCCCTGAACCTAACTGCCTGGCTTCAAATGCCAGTTTCATGTGTCCTTGGTCAAGCTCCTTAACCTCTGTGAGTTTGTTCCTCATCTGTAAAATGGGGATTAATAGTATCTATCCCATATGGTTGTCATAAAGATGAAATGCATTTGTATATTAAAGCACTTTGTACAGTGCTTGGCATGAAATAGGTGCTCTATGATGGAAGGGTAAGATTTTTTTTTTTTTTTTTTTGCTTATTTATTCCCTGTGACCCCAGAGCCTCAGAGTTGAGCTGTGCAGGAAATGATGCTGCAGTGGTGTCTTTGAGCTAATCAGAGCTTCCCTTTTCTTTCTCCCAACCCCATCCGGAGCAGCCTGCCAGCCTCAGTGCTCCACGTGTTCCAGTGGCCTGGAGTGCTCCTCCTGCCAGCCGCCCCTGCTGATGCAGCACGGGCAGTGTGTGTCCACCTGCGGGGATGGCTTCTACCAAGATCGCCACTCCTGTGCAGGTACCCACTGGCCAGGCCAACAGCTGGCTGGGCCACTGAGAAAACCACTCCCTACTCCTAAGCCATCTGGGGTCACTAGGAGCTGTAAGTAGCTTCCAAGAAATTCTGAACGGACTCCTGATGGGATGAGAACAGTGGATCAGAGAGAGGGCGTATGTTGTTTTTATAACCTCATTAGTGCTTTAGTGCTGTGCATATGTGATGTAATTTTTCTAAGTCTTTCTGCACATATTTGGGGGCACTGGGACAGTAATTAGCCCCATGCTTTTGGTTTAGGATTGTCATTATGTTATAAGTTAGATTCCTTCATAGTATAAATACAAAGGGCTTAAATGAAAATATAGGAGAAAATACATCTACATATTTTTTAAACTTCATTTCCACCTAAAGAGAGAGGGAGAAGCAGAAATAAGAAAGTGACATCATAATAATGAACTTAGACAAAAAAAAGTAGGCATTTAAATGTCCTCTTGCTTTATTATCTATGTATTTTATCAGCTTTATATCCATACTTTTATTTTAAATTAATATCTAGTTGAAATTCTCATATTGTAACAGTTCTCTGGAGGTGGGAGTAGTCTTAATATCATTTAATTTATTGTTTATACTTGATCACTTTTGCAATAGTGTTATGATCATGGGTATAAGGAAAAAAGTATATATACGAAGAATTTTTAAGTGCAGAAATGGGAGAATGGGTAACAGTGAAAGGAAAGACAGAGGCCGCATCCTAAGGGCGGAGTCCTCTTCCAGAGGAGACGGGTAACCAGGGGTGCCCAGAGGCTAAGGCAGGTCTGCAGTGGAAGGTAAATTTGATAAGGTAGACAGGCCAGAGGGAGCTTCTGGAATGTTACTCCAGGTATTATGGTAACTACACTATCACCTGGGCAGAAAATGGGCAGATTCATGATGAGAATCAGAAGGTGGGCCAGTTTGAAGGTCAACTGATATGCTCCTCTCTTTCATGCCCTTGGTTAGATTTTCAGGGAAATCTTATGAAGGAAAAAGATTAAAAGAGGATAAGTGCATAATATTCTTCAGATGTGCAGGCTGAAGAGCTCTAAGGCCATGTGAAGATTCCATGTGGGGAGGCTGCTGGCCCCCTCATTCCAGGCTGTGGTCAGAAGCACAGTCCCCGGGACTGTGGACATCATCTTAAAAGGAAACACTGGTGCTGTCTGTGCATGCAGATGTGAGGATGGTGGGGCCAGTCCTTTGAGGGAATATGGAAGCCACACTAGCTTCAGAGCCTGGCTTGAGGGCTACAGGAATATCTTCTGTGTCTCTATATCCCCAACATCAAGGGCTGCACAAAGCATTCAGCATTTGTTGAACAAGTGTGTGATGATGAAGGAACGTATTACCCCTTGGTGATCCTTGACGGACCGTGTTTCAGTACAAGTTTCAATCATAAAAGAGAAAAGAACCCTTAATGTTTATTACTTGTCATCTTCTATTTACCTGTTATTTTAGAACAGGTTCAGAGTGGGCACATACAAACGGCTTTGTAAGCGTCTAATGTTTGGGCAATTTAGGTAAATGGCTGAAATTTCAATTTGATAAAATCATTGGATGTATTCTTCACTCCTTTCTTCTATCCCATCAAAGAGACCTCCTACTAGCACTCCTGTGACAGATTTGCCTTTAAGAAGGAATTAATTTCCCTTAGATTTTATTCCACCCTCCCTACTGCTTCCATCCCCTACCACATATCCCACATACATATTTACTTTAAAATATTTTTTCCTATTTCTTTTGGAGGAAGCATTCTCCTTTCTCTTATGCCCACTGTTTTAATTGGTGATGTTAATGCTTTTTTAGGGCACTTTAGAATAGGTAATGTTTCACTTGATTATTGGTTTATGTAGCTGACTGCTTTCACATTCCATCCACAAAGCCATACACAAATGCCTCTAGTAGAGAGTTGCTGGGAAAATTTAATTCCTTCCAGGGAATTAAACCAATTTGCTTTAGTTCAGCCTGGTTGCATTTTTATGCATAAAATGAAAAGATAGAAGAGAGCAAGAGGAGAGAGAGAGAGAGAGCGAGAGCGAGAGAGAGAGAGAGAGAGAGAGAGAGAGAGAATGGTTTTAAAAATTAAAGCTAAACTTGTGATCAATTTCTATATACTGTCTTGATGCTGAGACTACTGCCCAAATAATCTTTTTTTAAAAAATTGAATTTATTAGGGTGATACTGGTTCTCAAAACCATATAGGTTTTAAGTGTACAACTCAATAAAACATCATCTTCACACTGCATCTCCCCAAGCAAAGTCTCTTTCCCTCCCCATTCCCCCCTTTTGCCCACCTCCATCTCCCCCCAACACCTCCTTCCCCTCTGGCTATCACCATGCTGTTGTCTGTGTCTATATACTATCTTTTTATTTAATCCTTTCTCATTATTGGAATTTTTTCCAATATTTCTGCTTGTGTCATTTTGGGTGACTTTTCACCATTGACCTTCGAAGCCAGTTGGTCAACCAGTGCTTTTTCAGTATGTGTTAAACTTTTCAAAAAGAAGCCTGCCGTTCTATGATTACAACAGGTTTTTTCTGGATTCATTCCTCTTGGCAGGGTCATTTGTGTTATGTTGGCATAATTCTCCACTTTATTGACCCATCAAAACCAAAATAAAGTGAACATTGTGCTGAGAAAACTAATTACCAGGAATTACCTGATTAATATTCATGCTCACTGTGTGAGATGTAGGCAGAATGAAAAATGTGGGACAGAGCCAAGCTTCACATAAACATGGCTCTTCAACAAAAGAGTTCAAGCAGGTAAGCCAAGGGGGAGTGAAAGAAGACAACAGTCCTGCCAGAAACCACACCTCTAAGAGCCCTTATCATTTTCCCTTCCCCTCAATTCTGTGGCATATACACACATACACATTAACATATGTGTACATATGTTAATATTATTGTTATACTAGTGGCCCGGTGCACAAAATTTGTTCTTGGCAGGGGTGTCCCTCAGCCCGGCCTGCACCCTCTCTAATCTGGAACCACTCGGGGAATGGCCTGGGATCGAGCCTAAACCAGCAGTCGGACATCCTTCTCACAATCCAGGACTGCTGGCTCCTAACCGCTTGCCTACCTGCATGCCTGATTGCCCCTAACTGCTTCTGCCTGCCAGCCTGATACCCCCTATCTGCTCCCCTGCCAGCCTGATTGACGCCTAACTGCTCCCCTGCTGGCCTGATCGTCCCCAACTGCCCTCCCCTGCTAGCCTGATCACCCACATCTGCCCTCCCCTGCCGTGACCCGCCTCCTCTGCTGGGACCGGCCTCCTCCATGCTGTGCAGAACCTTGGGACCCCGCCCCCCCCTCCCCCCCACACCACGCAGAGCGGCCAACGGGCCCTGCCTCCGCTGTGCATGCAGCCATCTTGTGGTGGCCATCTCGTGATGACGTTGTGTGCGAGGGCCACCTAGGCTTTTATTAGAATAGATTCTTGTGCTTGACTTCACTGAATAATGTTGTACATATAGATAACATTATGTGCCCCATACCAGTCCCTGCTTCCTTTCCCTCGCCTTCTCTGACTTTGGAGTTTGATGCTTGGTAACTAACACTCAGAACCACCCAGTTTTGAAACTAGTCTCAACCAGAGACAGGTAACGTGTAAGTTGCCTCTTTCCCACAACTGGTAAGGCCAAGGCATAATCGCCCTCTTAGTACCCACACCTCACTATTTAGGCCTGGCATTCGGGCTTCTGCCATAACCTCTCGGCTAACCTGGGATCTGGTCCAACATGCCTGTTGCCCAACCTGTCCTGTTCTTGACACCATGACATCAGGCCCTAGGACTGGACTTCTACTTTGCTTCCTGCCGCTTTGCCCTATTGTGATCCATTTTCAGGAATGAACAGCTCATCTCATCATCGCCCCCAGCCTGACGGTCAGGCTTGAGGCATGTGTAGATGCTCCTCGCCCCCCCTCAACCCCATCACCTTACCCCCTTTTTGCATGGCTCTTGGATACCAATTGTCCTGAATGTATGGTATTCTCTTATCAGAGTGGTGGTTCCATTGCCTCTTCTTAGAAATCCGGGCATTAAATCTAAATCTGGATTCAGGCTGAGCCCACCATGACCTCAGAACATTCTTTCTTGCTTGTCTTGCTCCTCTTTTCAATCAAACTCTGTTCTAGTCTGGCAGGACCATTGAATTGTGAACACAAATCCTACATATATGAGCTCAGAAGAAGAAAACTTAAAACAAGCCAACTAATATACTCCATGTGAGATTAGTTTGAAATGAACAGACTTTGAGTAGAGAAAGAGTAGAATGTGACCCATTTTTGTATGTGTACCAATGTTTGTTTTGTCTGCTTAACACTTGTTATTCATAATGGCCTGAGGATGGAGCTGTGTTACTCCATGGCGAGAGCTGCCTTTATTCTGCAGATCCCGAGATGGGAGAGAGGGAGTGCAACATGGCACTTAAGACCGTAGTAGGCTCTGGAGGCAAACCGCCTGGCTTCCAGGTCTGGCTCTGCCCTTTACAACGGGCACTTCTTGAACTCTGTGTTTTAGTTGCCTTATGGGTAAAGCAGAGACAATAACATCGGCCACATAGTGTTCTTGTGAGGATTAGATGAGTAAATGCACACATGTCCTTAATCCTACCAGACCTGAGGCCCTGAACCTAACTGTCCCCTATACCTGGGCTCCTGAGCATGAAAGAGAAAAAACCAACATGATATAGAAAAATGTTAGTTACATGCAAACAAGTGGTTAGAATAATATGGAACTTGGAGACATTGTAGAAAATAGGTCTACCTTTCATCTACCTTTCATCTAGCACCAATATTCCACCTTTGTGTGGAAATTACCGAAAAATCAGTACAGCGGTCTGGTAGGGTTAAGGATGGTGCCTGCTACCTAGGAGCCCTGCATATATGTTAGGAGATTTGAAATGTACTTTCCATTACCCCTCTTCCCTGTTCCCTTTCTCTCACTCCTCCATTCATTCCCTTTTGACCACTCTAGGTCCTGA